AAGACAAAAAGCGGACCGTTCATCATAACAGCGGGTATGACTCTAAATTTTAATATATTTATCCAAATATTGACGATTTTCTTTTTTATTTTACTTCCACTACTAATTGTTTTACTGTGTGGCTGAAAGAAAATTATCAACAAAATAAAATTAATAGAAAAAAAAAAAAAAAAAAAAAAAAAAAAAAAAAAAAAAAAAAAAATATAAAAAAAAAAAAAAAAAAAAAAAAAAGCATTAATTTATCTTTTTTTAAAACAACAACTTACCATTAACTATTCATACACACTTATTATTGTTAGCTGTACTACTAAATAATTGTACACGCTTAATTACTTAAAAATAAAACAGAAAATGACCTGCTCTAATTAAAAATTTTGCCAACTGGGCAACTGAGATCGATTTTTATGGATTTTTTTAAATTGAGATTCTAACGATTCTACTTTTAAAATACAAGATAAATCATAGTAGATAGTTGTTTTCAAATTCTTGAATTGCCCCCCCCACCCCCAAACTTAAAAAATAAAATTGCCCCACTGTTGGATATACTGTTTTAGATAGTGAGATGCAGAGCAGTGCCGTCTTAAGGCTTGGGAACAGTGGGCACTTGACCAGGGCCCCGAGCTTCTAGGGGCCCCTTGCTTCTAGGAGACTTACTCTTATAAAGGCTTCATGTTGCAAATATTGTTAATGAATATTGAAACGTTTTGGCAATTAAATTTGATTTAAAAATCAATGGAAAGCACGTTTCACAATTTTATCGGCACGTTCCATAATTAATATTAAAAATGCGAATCACAAGTTGAATACTTTTTAAACTTTTAAAGGGGAATAACTCTCGTCAACAAGTTTTTCTTCTCCCAGATATGAATAGAAAAATAATAAAGGAGTATTTGTTTACAATCATGTTAGACAAAGATGTTGGCCCCGGGCGTTAATAACCCTAGATATGCCACTGTTCAGTAGTGAAATTAGTGGAGAAAAATCTATCCTAGCACCAGTTCAAGTACTACTGAATTTAATTAGCATTATATCAGGAATTTGTAGGTCACCAATAAACAATTCTTTTTAAAAAACAAAAACAAAACCCAAATAACTTAATATTTTTTCAACAGAAAAATCTTTGTATTCTGTGTCTGAAAAACATATTTCGATAATAAATAGAACCCAACAGTCACCGTATGTCTGAGCTGTAATATATAGGCCTTTAGACATAATTTGTGCTCACTGTTTCAAGCTCAAAATCATTTTCATCTTACATACCGGGTAGCTCAAATACAGAGATGGCTTTTATTAATGGCACCATTTCTATTGATCATTTCCCGATGTTCGTTTTTAGCGGGGCACGTGTCAGTCTGAAGGGACAGACAAAAAATTAAAAAATTATTACCTGTATCTTTAAACGGATTGCTGCTATTACTATAGAAATACTTGTTACCAATGAATATATTTCTACGTGTTTAACCCCTTAACCGGGAATAAAAATTAGTTTTATAATTGGAGCACAGAAGAGAAAAAGAGCCGAGGAGACAAGGAAAACGGGTAAACTTGCAAAATTAACATCTTGGTTAAATCCAATCGAAATATCAGTGACTAATACTGCTCATCAAAATAAAAAAGCCTCATCTACATCCTCTATTGGATGCAGCCATCTAGTTCCAGACAATACCATTACCTATTTCCTCTGCTGGGGAAATTGTAAAAATTGAAACACACAAAGCTGTGTCAGAAAACGAGAGTGTGTGATTCACCACACAGATCCCGGGCTTTGGAATATTAAGAACACTTGTACAGTTGAGTAATGAATTCGTGGTGGGCCATCATTGTGTCAGAATCATGACTGCAACCTTTCAAACTCAGGCAGAGCTGGAGAAGAAAGAACTAAGACAAGGTATTAACCAAGAAATATGTTCTAACATGAGCTGCGGAATGGTGAGTATGTAAAGCTTGAATGGCTTCTCTATTCACCATACTAATGTTGTTTGTATTGTTTTGCGTGTGGTCTATTGTCCAAAAAGGTATTTCCCTTTGCTGTATCAGGATTTAAGTACTGGAAACATAACAATCTAATTGTAGAACATGAAAATAGAGCAGTGCATCGCAAGGACATGACTGCATTTTTTCTTCGACTGAAAGAAGTTAGGTGTTTAGGTCCTTTATTAATCAAAGACCATAGGTCAAAACAGAAGTGCTGGCATAAAGTTCTGACTCGTGGGGTTTATGTCGTTCGCTTACTTGCCTCCAGAGGTTTAGGTCAAACTATCGGGTCAGTAAACAATAGAAATTGTTTAGGTACTTTAGAGCTGCTGAGTGAATTTAACCCTTTTTTGGAAGAGTATCTCAAACTGTATGGAAATGCTGGAAAGGGTAACACATCATATCTGTCGGCAAATATTTGAGAAACATTTATTGATCTAATGGGGCAACATGTCCTTTGTGCTATTCTGCAAGAAATTAAAGAGTCAAAGTATTATTCAATAAGTTATGATTCCACTTCAGACATTTCACACATTGATCAACTGACATTTACAGGTCCGGTGCATTCGATGATGTAAGTCTGTGGAACGTTTTATCAAGTTAATTTCCATATTTTCCAATGCAGCAAAAGATCTAACAGACACTGGTGTGTATCAAAGGATCTAGCAGACAATGTTTTGGATTTCCTGAATGAGAACGAAATTCCGCCTTCAATTTGGCGTGCTCAATCGTATGACAAAGCTTAAAATTTATATGTCTGGACGCTACACTGGATTGCAAGCACGAGTTTGCCGTGTATGTCCCTTGTGCTGGACACAGCCTGAACTTAGTGGGCTTAAAAGCAGCAGAGTGTTGTCTACAAGTTGGAAAATTCTTTGACTTTGTTCAACGCCTATATACCCTTTTCTCACATCGATGGAATGTTCTGGTATCTTCCTTAGGAAAATCTCTCTTTGTCGTAAAGTATCTGTCTGACACAAGATGGTTGGCACATTGTGATGCCGTCAACAGTTCGAAAAAAATACAAGATGCTCTGGACTCTGTATCAGCTGACACTGATCAGGAAAGGAAAAAACGAGACGTGAGGCAGAAAGACTAAGTAATAAAATGGAGAACCTGATAATTTATCATCATCTGGGATGAATTATAATGTATTTCTGATAATGTTTTAAAACCATTATATTATAGCATTTACATGAATTTTTTTGGGTATAAATAAGGTGAATTAACCTATTTTTAACTTTATTGAATTGAATTTTTATTTCTTATTTTACAATGTTATTTCTCTTGGTGAGTTGGGTTGGGAGCAACAACTGTTTGCGCCCCCTCCCCCCCCCACTGTTTGAAACATGGGGCAAGTGCCCCACTTCGCCCCCCACCCCTTCTAACGACCCTGGTGTGTTATGTTGCTGGTGGCCTCGGTGCATTTCTGTGGCGAGGGCCCCTATGTTCTTAAGACGGCCCTGATGCAGAGCCTTCCACGCAGCTGTACGCCAGATTACTCTACTAAAGCAACATCGGCGTGCACAGGAGAAAGTCCGAGAGTTGAAATAAAACCCAGCAAAACTATTATTGTTTGCTGGCTTCTGATGGGGGCTCGTCCATTCCATTTGATTTATTACGCTACTGTTGTGTATAAATATAAGATAGTATAGTAGCATAAGCCAACTCCGATTGGCTCATTATTTCTTGCCTTGATTTAAAATAGCTCAGTACAATTAAATCAACAATTAAAAACTAAATCAATTCAATAGATTAAATTAATCAGATACGTAGGTCTACTATTTAGAAAAGAATAGCCCTAGTTCAAGTGCACCAGGGTTTATCTGCTGGCACTGTTTGCTGGCTTATGACATCAAAACTTGGTCATACTCCCCTTTAATTCACTAGCTATAATAGTCTAGAAGGCGATAGACAACATTTCAGCTATTTTGGGGCATAGAGAAGCAGATGAAAATTGTCTTCAAATATCGTGAACGTTACCAGTACCGGTACCAGAAACAAAAATAAGAACTTGACAAATGGTGCAGAAAAATAATTGTTATAAATAATAAAGGGAAGCAAATCTTCCATGTAGTTAAAAAAAAATATCAAAAACTACTTTATACTTATACTTCCGTTAAATATAATGAACATTAAAGCTTAAAATGGCTGGTATTCAAAATTTTTAGACTTAAATAAATGATACTATTTACCTTAGAAGTAATATAATTTCATGTCACTTTTAGGCCTGACTGGCCTTAAGAATATATAAATTTAAGGATTGATATTTTATTGAAATATTTTAAAAGTATAAAATGTACAGTGTGTATATATGGTTCAAAGCTGAAAAATTGCAATTATCAGTCTCAAGTAGAGCAGGGGTTCTTAACCAGGGAGGCAGTGTCAGCAAGACCCAGAAAAATATGATTTTTATTGTGGTGGGATGCTGGAAATGTTTTTTTAAATTAAATTTTGAGTGTGGGATAATTTTTAAAATCAAGATGTGTGGTGCTCAATAAAAAGGTTAAGAACCCCTGTACAGTTTTTACAGATGGTTGGGAACTTTGTGTCTTTGCCTCATACCAGTCATATGTGGATGAATAAAATCTTAACACAGAAATAAGCCCTTCATGTTCATTATGTCTTTGTTCAGTGGTAGAATCAAGTTGCTCAATTATTTATGTACCAGTTTAATTCTCTACATATGTCTGGCAATAACACAGCACCAGTTCAATTCTCTACATATGTCTGGCACTAACACAGCACCAGTTTAATTCTCTACATATGTCTGGCACTAACACAGCACCAGTTCAATTCTCTACATATGTCTGGCAATAACACAGCACCAGTTCAATTCTCTACATATGTCTGGCTATATGCTTTACCAGAATTACACTGTGGTTGTGTATTGGTTAAGATTAAGAAGCCTGCCTTGTGACAGAGAGTTAGGGGTCTGGATTCCAATTCCATGAAACGGACATAAGTTATTTTAAAAACAAAATCATTTCAAGATAAAAAGTTTTATTGTTAAACATTAATTTTGTGTCTTATTGATTTATTTAATTCAAATATTTAGTTCAAGTTTATATTGAACAAATCTGTGTGTCTATTGTAATTTTAATGTTATAAAATCAGTGTCTGTCTACTCTATTGTTAATAACTTTGTGGGTGTATTCTAATCTTAATGAATCTGTGCTTCTATTGCAAAGTTAATAAATCTCTGTCTGGTCTATAATTGTAATGCTATCTATCAATATCAATAAGATGTAAAACAAATAAGGGCCACAACTCACTAAAACTAAAGATTCCACATGAAAATGTCTGTCTCATTGGTTACTGCATAAATGTTTTAATCATATTTTTTATTCGACATGTTTGATTTATGTATATTCTATATTTATATAATCAAGATTATGACATGATAAAATGGTTGACATCAACTGCATATCATGATTACATATGGCATAGAGTAGTGCAGTGTTTCAAATACTTGGAACAAGGGGTTGGCACAAAGATAGTAATCTCCCCTATGCATTAGGTCACCACCATTTCTTAAAGTTATGGTCACATGACAAGTAAATACCTTACTTTAAACTAACCTCTAAACTCCTTGTTGGTATCAACTGCTGTAGTACAACTGGTCAGTTGAAACAAGTGACAACTGTAAACATCATTTACAATTAAAATCATTCATCATGTGTACCGGCACACACATTTATTTATGGGCTAAATCAGTCAGCACATGTACACACATTTATGGGCTAAATCAGTCAGCACATGTACACACATTTATGATCAGATAATAGAACCTCTAAAAAAAAAACCATTTGTTTTATTTCTAGCAAACAGTAAAAATATTTACATAACAAGCAGGGAGAATTGCACAGGGATTTGTAAGCTCTTTGACATGTAAAAATAGAGAAAGTCCATAACTCTGCCCCAGCATTTATTGAGTGCACTTGATCCGGGTACAACGAGAGTTTTAAAAAGTTGAAAGCTTGATGAGCTAAACAAGATAAAACATCTTCTCTAACTTGATGAGCTAAACTTATTATACAAGATAAAACAACATCTTCTCTAACTTTCATCAAAAAGAGAGTTCCGAATCATTTATAGATTTATTAGAACACTCCGATCCCCACCCAGGGAGAATTAAAAAAAAAAAAAAAATTAAAATCTGCAGAAGGGCATACTTTAAAATGTGAACATCTTCCACCCTCTCTGTAGTCATAAAATCCATTTAAAACCCTTTTGTTACTATATCTGAAACCTTTTATTTTGTTTCACATCTAAAAACCCCTCTATTTTTTTTATAAATCCCAAACCACCTATGCTTTTAAAATGAGATCTCTTCAAACTCTGATCTCTTGAAGACGATTTAAGTGGATCAAGGATTTCCACTGGATTTTTTTTCTGTGAAAGCTTCTCTGATCTTGTTGTTATGTCTAGGACTGAATCGCTTACAATGATTTCAGGACACAAGCTGTTAGTGCTCCAATAAACAGGCATCGTCAAGTTGCCAGAATGGACATTGCTTCACAATATAAAAGATATGCAAAGCTATGAATTTTCCAGCATCATGTTAGGCTGACCTTACATATCATCTTATCAGCTGACCTGATAGCGACTTATCAGATGACACGACCCATTAGGTCATCAAATCTGACACATCATTTCTCTGATCTAACAGCATCAAAGGGAAATATAAATTTACATCTGTGTACACTTTTATTTGAATAAAATGTTCAAACTTCCTCTAAGCTTGTATCTTCTATATTATGTTAAGTCTATGTCCAATCTTGTATCTTCTATATCCAATCTTGTTATTTCCAAATGTTTAGTCTATGCACAATCTTGTATCTTCTATAATTTTAGTCTATGTCCAAGCTGGGGTCCTCCGTCTTTCCCAGTGGAGATGTCTGCTGTTCCGTATTTGTCCAAGTGGTGTTGACAGTTGATGTGCTCGCCGACGGTTTGTCCACCGCAATGTTGGCTGTCACACTAACATCTGCACCCGTGAATGCCGTCAGGTTGATATCTACATCATTATCACTGATGTTGTTGTTGTTGAACTCCTGATTCTCAATCTCTGTCAGTAAAGCTGTGGCCTCCTGGAGTGTGTACTGAAAAAAGACCAATCTTATTTTAGACTGTGTGTGTTGGAGGGCTCTGGGTGTTTGGCAGCTGTGGGTGTTGGGGGCTGCAGGTATTAAGGGGCTGTGGGTAGTAGGGGGCTTTAGGTATTAAAGGGTTGTGGGTAGTAGGGGGTTGTGGATACTAAGGGGCCAAAAAAAAAAAAAAAAAATTTTCTGCGAACCACAGGGCCGCAACAGAAAGATTAAAAATTTTTTAAAAAGAAAATTGCTCTCATTATCATGACGTCTTACCGTAAGCATAAAGTCATAAAGAGTATTAGATCCAATAGCATTATCAGCTCATCAAGAATATAACAATTTTTTTTAATTTGAGGTAGCGATAGTTATAAGTAGAACCTGCCCTCATTAGATATTTTAATGTTCACCAAAGTGTTACGTTCTTTGGACTTGACGTTGGCCAGTACAGAGAATATGGCTTCACTGATGTACGGTGCTTCCAAAAACATGGTCAAATGTTTTTTTAATCATATTTCCATAGTTGTGAAAATCCATCAGAAGAAACATGACTTCATCCAGAATTTATTTGGCCATGAGTTCTTAGGTTTGTTTAAAAAAAAAAACTTTCAAGAATTGTTCTTACTGTCTCACAATTCCCCTCTGACTGAATCGCAATAACTACAAACAAACACTTCTTGTATCCTGCTTTCTAGTCATTGCACATCTTATGCTCAGATCTTTCAATACCAGGTTCTTGTCCCCAAGATCACGATAAGACATCAATCATAAACGGTTCACACTGCCTACCGTAGTCATTGTAACACCTCAAATATCTCAGCTCCCATTTTGATTACTAGGACCAAGTGGCCTAGCTAGAGTTAGTGCCGCTCGGGGGCAGGCCAAGATATGTGCCACCTCCTGTCCACGAAAATGCCACCCCTCCATATGAAGAAAAAAGTGCCCGCCTGAGGCGGAATGCTCCTCCACACCCATTCCTATGCCACTGCTCTGATGACTTTACTGTCATATTATTATTATCCCACAAAGCGTAGTAGTTTACCTGCTGTGTTCACCCATCTATTTCATCTAAATTGGTCCCAATGGTGGGGACATGGATATTTTTACAATGACCAAACAGCTACACATCAAGTTAATTTTGGTTTCCCCATTCATCTGTCCCAGTGCCACTAGTAATTATATCTGACACCCTGCCATGACATCTTCCCTGTACAAGCATCTGTCCCAGTGCCATTAGTAATTATATCTGACACCCTGCCATGACATCTCCCCTGTACAAGCAACATGAAAAAAGAGAAGATAGTATCCGATTTTATGTCAACCAGATTCCCAAATGGTTGCTCTGCTGATGTGCTTAACATAAATCACTGCTACCTGTTGAGCCATCCCACTTCTTAGCTTTTGTGACCTCCCTCCTTTTCCAGGTAACAACCTCTCGTGTGCTCTCACATGATTTTCCAACAACTCTGAGTCTATGCAAGCGTTTGGAAAATATTTTCACCCTCCACATAAAAGTTTCTCAAGCTGTGGTGGGCCATTTAAAATCAGTTTAAGGGCAGCGTTTTGAATGGCCCCGCCTTATGGCAGCTGGACTCGTAGATACTATAACTAAAATAGACTGCCACATATGGGAAAACCAACCTGAGCACTCTGAGTCCTCTGGAAAGACTTGCGATTGGAATCCTCATTTGAAAGACTTTGTGATGAAGTTGAACTCCAATAGTTGTGGTCACTCATCTGAAAAAAGAAAAAAAGCTGCTGACATTTTTGTTTGACTAAACCCTTGATCAATCTTAGGAGATGAGGACACCGACTTCAGATTAAGTCAGCAGGACACCAAACACTGTTTAAGTCAGGAGGACATCCACTACTGTTTAAGTCAGGAGGACATCCACCAGCTGTGACACAAGGGGCTCATTGTCAGCTGCTCCTTGCCCATCAGGTTCAGAAGCATGCAGCATTGTGTGGAACAGCAGTTGAAATTCATTTCTTGGAAACATTTGTCTATACCATTGTGTGTATTTATGGCATTTGTAGACCAATAGTGACTAATGTGAGTAGCAGCTATGTTTCTTCCTGGTAATCTAAAAAAATTTTTTTTCTTCATTTTTTGAAGCTTTTTTGGTTAAAAACCTACATTTTAAAACTTATTTTGTAAATTCATGAGGACATCCAAAAACGAATTAAAAATTGATGATAATGTAAAATGTCATGATCTATCATAATGTAAAATGTTATGATCTATCATAATGTAAAATGTCATGATCTATCATAATTTAAAATATCATGATCTATCATAATGTAAAATGTCATGATCTATCATAATGTAAAATGTCATGATCTATCATAATTTAAAATGTCATGATCTATCATAATGTAAAAAGTTCATGATCTATCATAATGTAAAAAGTTCATGATCTATCATAATGTAAAAAGTTCATGATCTATCATAATGTAAAAAGTTCATGATCTATCATAATGTAAAAAGTTCATGATGTATCATAATGTAAAAAGTACATGATCTATCATAATTTAAAATGTCCTGATCTATCAAAATGTAAAATGTCCTGATCAATGGTCTTTGCTTAAACACCAGGAAGCTATAAGGTACATCGTCTTACCTAGAGGTAACTTAACCTTTAGGTTGTTTTTTTTACCTTGATGTAACATCCTAATGGTAACTATCTTTGGGGTATCTTAATTTGAGGTTACCTTACTTTTAAGTTTATCTTACTATGACCTTGAGGTAACTTAATCTTTTGGGGTAACTTACTTTGAGGCCACCTTACAATACTTTTACCATCCTCAAAATGTTAACACTTCCAAATGCAACCTTCTGGGGTAACTTACTTTGAGGTAACCTTACAATACTTTGACCATCCTCAAAATGTAAACTCTACCGAATGTATACCTTCTTTTTGAGCCAGTTGACTGCCCACTGCCATTTTGATGGTGTCTTAAGTAGAAAGTCTTTAGCTACTGCTGACTTGCTCATCAGAGCCACCAGGAACTTGATGCACTGGTAGGACCTGCGACTGTCTGACACATGATTCAACCTTATAACATCTGGGTGGGGGGAAGAGAAGATGGGCAAAATCTTGAGATGGTAGAAGTTAACAAGAATGAGATGGTGGAGGTTAAATAAAGATTTACTTGTCGGAGGTTGACAAAAGTGAGATGGCAGCAGCTAAATAAAGACTTACTTGTCGGAGGTTGACAAGAATGGGACGGTAGAAGTTAAATAAAGACTTACTTGTCAAACCTTCAAATTTCTTTCCATTGTCATCCAAAATGCCATCAATGACATACTGTAGTCTGATAGTTTGCAAGGGGTCCTCAAGCATCTGGATGCAATAGAAAATGTGGACATTAAAAAAATGGTCTTAACTTGACCATAATTCATGTATGTTGGAACATGGCATAAATATTTACACAGGTAAAATTAGGCCCTGTTGATTTCTTATCATGGATAAATTCGTTATTTGTGACAGGCTTATATTATTTACCAGTATTTTAGTCAGGAGGGAGAAGATGGGCTTCAGTTCATTGGAAGCAATGTTAGAATACTGCCACTGGAGGGAGAAGATAAACAGCATTCAAAATACATGGAAACCTTGGTTACTGTAGAGCGCTAAATTGAATGTTTATAATGATCATGTGATTGGTCAGATTTTTAACAACTGATACAGTCGATCCGAACTATGATGCTGACTAAATGGTGGAGTAACTGCCATAGTCAGATGTAGCTATTGAGGTACATACCATAAGTCAGATGTAGCTATTGAGATAATACCATACGTCAGATGTAGTTAGTGATGTACGTACCATAAGTCAGATGTAGCTATTGAGGTACATACCATAAGTCAGATGTAGCTATTGAGGTATATACCATAAGTCAGATTTAACTAGTGATGTACATACCATAATTCAGATGTAGCTATTGAAATACATACCATAAGTCAGATGTAGTTAGTGATGTACATAGCATAAGTCAGATGTAGCTATTGAGGTACATACCATAAGTCAAATGTAGCTAGTGATGTACATACCTTAAGTCAGATGTAGCTATTGAGGTATATACCATAGGTCAGATTAAACTAGTGATGTACATACCATAAGTCAGATGTAATTACAATAAGTCAGATGTAAATAGTGATGTACATACCATAATTCAGATTTACATACCATAATCTGTTTAAGTATCGCCTGGGTAAATGGAAGGTTACAGTAACTGCAGTACGTCAACATATCAAAAAGGGAGTCCAGTGTACCACCTGATAACTCACGTACACCCATTATAACCTGTTTAATATAAAATGAACACATATAACATGTTCACTATAATTTTTACTTACATAACATGTTCACTATGATTTTTACTTACATAACATTTTCATAACAAATTTTACATTCTTTCCTCTTAATATACCTATGTAACTTTTACACCAATGACATAACTATGTAAACTTACCACCTTGATGTACTTATGTGACTCTTACCTCCTTGATGTACCTATGTGACTCTTCACCAAACACATATGAACTCATTTCCTGGGACATCTTGAGAAAGATGTGTGGCTGTACAGTGGATGGCTTCCGCTCTCCAAACTCACCAGGATCTAAGCAGATAGATAAATGCCAGCATTATTACCAAGCTAACATGGTATGGCCACAGTCTGTAGTAAGGCCACGGCCTGTAGTATGGCCATGGCCTGTAGTATGGCCAGTCTGTGGTATGACAGGCATCAATTACTGACCATAGGTCTTATAGTCACAAATTATTGACCATTAGTCTTGTACTACTTACAGTTTACAGGCAAAATTACTGACCATTGGTCTTATACTACTTATAGGTCACAAATTACTGACCGTTGGTCATATATTACTGACCATGGGTTTGATAGGCACAAATCTCTGACCAAGGGTCTAAAAGGTACAAATTACTGACCACGGGTCTAATAGGCACAAATTACTGACCATGTGTCTTATATTACTTATAATATTCTATAGGCCAAAATAGACTGACCATGGGTCTGATAAGCCTTGACATCACAGTTTAGAATGAGCAAAGCCAAAGCTGTATGGAGGTGAGCAAACTCTCGCGCTTGAATGGAGCTCCATCTCCTCCCTGAGTCCTGCAACATAATCAAGTTATATGTGGCATATAGTCATCTTATGGTATATAGTCATCTTATGGTATATAGTAATCTTATAATTTATGGTCATGCTATGGTATATAGTGATATTATGGTATATAGTGATGTTATGGTATGTTGTCATCTTATAATATATGGTCATGGTGTGGTATACAGTCATGTTATGGTTTATAGTCATCTTATGGCATATAGTCATGTTATGGTATATTGTAATGTTATAGTATATAGTCATGTTATGGTACCAGTATATATAATCATGTCCATGATCCAAAGACAATGTGAATCATACACTTGTCTATGATCAAAAGTCAAAATACAATGACAGTTACCATAGCCACTTACCCCATTACCATGGCCATTTACCCCATTTCCATAGCCACTTATCCCATTACCACAGACCTGGTTACCCTTGAATGCCCAAAATTATACAATATCGTCTCGGAATAGCAAATGAATTAAATAGTTTAATCTATACAATAACTCATTGCATTGGGTGTCAAGCCGGCAAGATGATGTAAAAAAATAGGTCACTTCCAAAGTAGATGACTGAATTTTATATTGCAGGTGTGTATCTTCTATAAAAATTTGGGTGTGCATGCAGATCACATTATCGCAGTCTGTCACTGGTCAAAATAAAATTATTGCTGAAACGTATTGTTCAAACTCTAAGTCGGTTCAGCATAAAACAAAATTTATTGAGATCCATTTTCTTTGTGTTCTAAAATATATTTCAAAAAATATTTTCTAGAACTTTTATACTATAATGGTCACCGACCAATCGTATTCTTTCTTGGCCCATTCACTGCCGGGTGTAAAAGCTAAAAATAACACTACAATAAAAAATGAATGTATTATTATTTTTTTATGTAAATGCAAGACTACCAGAATATTTTTGTTAAAAATCGCGTCTCATAAATTGTATTTCTGACATGTGCCCTCGTAAAATCCTAAAAGGCATCTCAAAATTGTATATTGTACACCAAAATCATAATTGTAAATGGGAAAAGTAACCAGATCTGTTACCATTACCACTTACCCCATTACCAACGCCACTCACCATATTACCATAGCCACTTACTCCATTTCCATAGTCACTTACCCAATCGTCATAGCCACTTAACCCATTACCATTTCCACTTACCCCATTACCATTGCCAAGAAGGAAGATGACCAGACGTTGAAATCCATTTCTGCCAAACATGTGTGCACAAGCTTTTGTCCCCTAAAAGTTTAAGCATGAGCCAGAATGAGGAAATTTTCTTGTATGAGATACTAGGGACATAACACTGTGGGAGATATTAGGGACTTTACCTTGTAAGTTGTGAAGGACTTATGTTGTAAGAGATAGTGGAGACAGGATTTATTAGGGTAATTAGGTTGTAAGAGATACATTAAGTTGTAAGAGTAGACATTTTGAAATTACATTGTAAGAGATATTAGGGACATAAAGTTGTAAGAGATATTGGGAGACATTTGGATAGAAAAAAAAAAACGAAGAAAAAAAAATCTGCTTAAAAGCAATCTAAAAGTTAAAGGAGTTGAGTTCATTACCATCTGTATGTAAGACCTGATGATCAGAAAATACTGAGTACTATTCCTAACTAAATCTACAGCATCTTTATCTAGTAATGACAGCAGGTTTTCCAGCAGTGTGTTCAGGTTGGGGTGTGTCTGAAATAGACAAATGGTGGAAATGATAACATTGGGTAAAGCTTTCAACATTTTTACAAGTTGACATGGTTGGACTTTAATGAAATTTTATTATAACTAAATGTCAATGCGATGTGTTATCACCTTCTGCAAAGATCCTTTCTTATATCAAGGTCAAGGTTTTTATCTAATGTGAGGATAAATTGTTCAAACTTTGTAAAGTCAATTGTTCAAACTTGGTTAAGTTCAGTTATTCAAACTTGGAATAGGTCAATTGTTCAAACTTTGTAACGGTCAACTATTCAAAATTTGTGAAACAAGATATATTTCGATAACAAGGTTTACTTACAGGAACACCTCCATGATGGAAAAAACTGGCAAACATTTTCTCTAAAAGTTTGCAAAACATCACACGGACCTCTTTGCTAGGGCATTCTAAGATGAATGGTCTGGAATAATCAACAGTGTGTGTCTTATAATAGCTATATTAATATGTGTCTTATAATAGACATATTAAATAATGTTTCTTATAATAGCAGTATTAATATATGTGTTATAATAGCAGTATTAATATTTGTCTTATAATAGCAGTATTAATTGTGTTATAACAGCAGTATTAATATGTGTCTTTAATAGCAGTATTAATATGTGTATTATAATAGCAGTATTAATGTGTCTTATAATAGCGGTATGAATATGTGTCTTATAATTGCAGTATTAATATGTGTATTATAATAGCAGTATTAATATGTGTTTTGTAATTGCATTATTGATAGTAAATAACAGAGTTGCACAGATAAGCCTCAGTACATGGTACATATATTTTATTTTTATTATAAACATGGAAAAGTGGCATAATATACTATGTACTATAATATACTATAATATGTATCTAATGTTGATCTACACTCTTATCATCCTCCCTCCCTGTGGGGGGGGGGGGGGAGAAGATATTTAGAGTCTAGCATATACCTTACATGGTGAAAATTTGATAAAAAGCTCATAATCCAAGATTATATTAAAACCGTCTAAACTTAATGTAAGTCTAGAAAACATTATTTTAAGCTGACTAGTTTAAAAAAAACCAGATTAACCACAAAAATCAATCAATCAGTGCAATCCTAATTACCATCTTTGATATATGTATGGATGTATGGTGGAAGGATGGTTGATTGTCTGTATTGATGTGCGATGGAAGGATTGTTAATAACCTGCATTGATGTGTGGAAAGATTGTTGATTGTCTGTATTGATGTGTGGAGGAAGGATTGTTGGAAAAAAAAAATACCACCAACTTGATTATTTCGTTGCCTTCACTGCTGGCCAGGTAATCTATCAACCACAAACAGGCATCTCGACAGGATGACATCAAACTATCCAGCAAGGTGACCCATTCATCTAACTCTGACCTGCGGGATCAAGGAAACACTTGTGGTTTAGTAGCAGACATGTAAGTCAAACGAATTTAGTGGAAAATAATTTGGTCTCGCGTCTGTGGAAGTCTTGCTATTGCCAAAGCTGGTGAATGCCAAATACCAAGTCTAGTAAATGACAGAAATACCAAGTCTAGTGAATGCCAAAGACCAAGTCTAGTGAATGCCATAGACCAATTCTTGTGAATGCCAAAGACCAAGTCTACTGAATGCCAAAGACCAAGTCTAATTAGGAAAATCTGAAACAACATTGGTCAGGATACTTCTGTCATGAAGCAGCAATTGTTATACATAATGGGCCCAAGGGAATGGGTGGGACATTTCGGCCTTACCAAAAACTTACAAGTTATCAGGTCCTGAAGTCCAGAAAACTTACAGTAAATGGTCTCGAAGTGGTACAGCTTCTCAGCACAGCCGTATAATGTCAAAAGCAGTAGCCTGGCACAGCTTTACAAAGAATTCAGTTATTACAACAATTAACTACAAAAGTAGCAAGAGCCCTAAAGCACTTACTGTGTTTTTAAGCGTGTCCGTAAGTAAGTGTTGAGTAAAAACCTAATGCTAAGTTGCATACATTGGATGGTCATCTCAGGGTAGTCTGGCTCGTCCTGGTGGAGACAAGGGAAACACTGCATTAAAGCATTCACAAATCTCTACAAGAATGAAAACATAAAAATAGATCTGAAGGAAAACACTGAACTGAAATCACAAGAATAGGGTGGCTAATTCTCCCTCCCCATCCCCTGCACATTTTTACTATAAGCTTGCAACCCCGCCACTCCTAAAAAACCCCCCCAAAAAACACAATTATTTTGTAGACACTTATGAGGACAGTAAATAAAATGTCAATGGTTTTCTCCACTGTCTGTTTGGCATGACCCAAAGGATCCTAAAATGTAGGCCATATCTCCATGTGGTGTCACGAAATATTGAGCAATTTTCAAAATTTTATTTACACTGTTAATCCAATGTGACAGCCAGCGAACCTGTTGCAAACTAGCAACTCATTTGACTAATGACTTCAGAAACTCCTACACATGGTCACTAGATGGCGTTTAGTGACCTACGTATATGAATTATTTTTAAACAGCTCTTACACCAGTTACTACCAGTTCATAAATTTATGTACAGAGCTTATTTGCAAGTAAAAAGCTGCCTGTCATCACCTCTTTGATAGACGAAGATGGGGTGGGGGGGGGGGGCGGAAATCGAGGACCCCCGCCAAAGAGGGGGGGGGGTTTGGGGAGGTGGTCGAGCCCTCCCGCCAGAAAAAAAAAAAATCGTGATTGACTTTTGCATTTATTTGAATATGTTTTATTTTTGTATTATTAGGGGGGGGGGGGGGGGGGGGGGGGGGAAAGCGAGGCCCCCCGCCAAAGAGGGGGGGGGGTTTGGGGAGGTGGTCGAGCCCTCCCGCCAGAAAAAAAAAAAATCGTGATTGACTTTTGCATATACTTGAATATAGTTTATTTTTGCATCATTACACACTTAATTGGAAGAAAAACGAAGAAATGCTTAGGGAGAAGGAAGTTCCCTTGACCTATCTGTGTTTATTTCAATTCTTAATTTTTAGTAATGACTAAATAGTAAAATTGTTTTGTCAATAATTTGTATTTAAGATTACTCAGTACAATCTATTTTTTTAAAAATTAGTTGGTTGCTCCCCCCAGCATTAAGCCTAGGAGCCTGATTTTATTTCCCGTTAACAGATAGTTTAATAACTACATGAGCGCTGGAGTTTTAAAATTGCACAGCTGCTTAGTGACTTCTAAAAATAGCTTTGAAATGATGCGGAGCAATTGAGAATGCATTCATACAAAAAATAATAGTGTTCTCAGTTTCAGTTTTTGCAAACACTGTGGTTCAGCCAAAGAATGAAATTATTATCTCACAAAATTACCTCATACAGCACCAAAGCAAACAAAAGCTAATGTGATTAAATTTATCATTAGACTAGAGGGACTACGCTAAGTGTAACTGTTTCCGTATCAAGCGAGTTCATTGTAAAAATACAGAAGAACAATTTGATGATCTTTACCATCATGAGACAAGGCAGTGTTATTTTATAAGCTTTAAAAATATCTAAGATGACTCCTCCTACCCCAAAACCCTGCAAACCCACACGTTCCTAAATCGACACCGTCCCCTACCTCTCTCAGTGCTTATGTTATACAATTACTAGATATAGCCCGCCAAACATTGGTCACATCAATGTGTGAGCTTCATATCTACTAAAGCTACTTGACAAAACATAAACTAAATCCCCATTTTTGCTGCCCCCCCCCCCCCACCCAACCGCCGATGATACGACACAGCACACTTTTTATTTCACGCCCATGAACTATATTAATATTCTCATGTCCCAACCACTTTTAAACAGAATATTTTTTTACACAATACTTAAATTGAGACGATTTCATTTTCAAAAAGAAAATATTACGCACCAATATATATATATATCATTTAGCGTAGTTATCGGGAATTATATTTTGCGCGCTAGTGAACTCATTAATTTAACCACACCCTGGCGTATCTATGTATAGCCTGCTTGATGGTGGTGTTTAACCTTTGCTGGCAAATTATACACATAGATGGATGGTCCTCAACCTATTTGTATTTCTCGGATGTATTACAGCTGTGAGTGGAGAGAGAAGCTAAAACTAAATGAAAATGCAGTATTAATTTTGTTAAATCCTAAAAACTATCAGAATACATTTTTTCAACCCAGTCTCTTAAAATGGTAGTTCAGCATACAATCTTAAAAGACATCTCAAAATTGTACATTGTACAGCAAAAGTAACCAGGTCTACAGCATCATTATGGCAGCATTTGTGAATATAATGGTGAGATAACAATGAGGCAACAATGACCTTATTCTGAGCCACCAAAGTGACCAGCTGCCTGACAAAAGTGAAGTATTCTGGGTTGTAAATGTCCCTATTTTTGACAAAAGTGATGTTCTCTGCATGGATAACTTGTTGTATACCGGCTGGCATCCGGTCCAGGAAGATCCCCTTTCTCTCCCCTTTGTGGACCAGTTCTGTGAGCTCCATCAGACTGTCACTGTTCAAACTTCGCTTACTGGAAATAGTCATGGGGGTGTGGACAATAGTTTTAAATGAGTGTGTGGACAGTGGTCTTATATCAGTGTATGGAGAATGGTTTCATATGAGAGTGAGGACAATGGTCTTACAGGTGTGTTTGGACAATAGTCTTATATGAGTGTGTGGACGATAGTCAGATATATGTGGACAAATGTCTATTATGAAAGTGTGAAAAATCTTCAAATATGTGAGTAGACAACAGTCTCATACGAGTTTGTGGACAAGTCTTATATGAGTGTGTGGACAAAAGTCTTATGAGAGTGTGGACAATAGTCTTATATGAGTGTGTGGATGATAGTTAAATATGTGTGTGGCCAAATGTCTATTATGAAAGAGTGAACAATAGTCTTATATGTGTGTGGACAAATGTCTATTATGAAAGCGTTAACAAGTCTAATATGTGTGTGGACAAATGTCTATTATGAAAGTGTGAACAATCTTCAAATATGTGAGGAGACAACAGTCTCATACGGGAGTGTGGACAAGTCTTACATGAGAATGAGAGTGAGGACAAAAGTCTTATGAGAATGTGGACAATAGTCTAAAATATGTGTGTGGACAAACGTCTATTATGAAAGAGTGAACAATAGTCTAACATGTGTGTGGACAAATGTCTATTATGAAAGGGTGAACAATAGTCTATTATAAGAGGTAACCAACCGTCACTTAACTGAACCAGGAAACTGACTTAACACTCTACAAGTCTGTGACTTAACCAACTTCGGGTAACACTATGAGTGTATGACTAATTCACCCTCTGTAGTATTTTACCAGTGTGTGATATACCCACCCCCACTCTGCAAGTATGTGACTTACCCGCCCTCAGGTAGCACTCTACGAGAGATGATTTTACTGCGTTTGGCCGTGACTGGTGACCTGAGATCTTCTTGTCTTTCATAAAACAGGAGGTAGCCATTCCAGTAGCGGAGTCTTTCTTCAGGGTATGTGTTAGCTGGGAAGTCAGGTATAAAGCTTTTTAATGTGTTATGTAACCTGACTGATGTGTCCACCGATGTTACCCTAATGATGTTACCTGACGATGTAACCTGACTGATGTGTCCACCGATGTAACCCTAATGATGTTACCTGACGATGTAACCTGACTGATGTTACCCAACTGATGTTACCCGACTGATGTTACCTGACGATGTAACCTGACTGGTGTTACCCAACTGATGTTACCTGAGTGATGTAACCTGACTGATGTAACCCGACTGATAGAACCTGACTGATGTAACCTGATGCAATCAACGACACAGTTATGCCAAATTTATAGGCAACATCGATCTTTTATTTAATGGTTAGTATTGTGAATATAGATAAAACATATTAGACCAAAAATTCATTAGATAGCTCATGTCAGATAGCCTTTATATATATATATATTGATTGATTGACCAATAAATGCATGAGATGATGAAGATTATATTGAACATTTACATTTTTAGAATATTAAATAATATAATTAAATCATTTTCCAATTAAATTCCAAACCAGGACAATTTCAGCATATCGCTATTCCTTGACCATCAAATCCATGAGATGATCTTTTGGGATAAATAATTGATGCCACACTTACAGGAATCATAGACTTTAGCCTTGTAGGTGCCCCCAAAACATTCTTGTTCCACAGTGACATCATTCATGTCAAACTCCTCCACAACAGTATCATTGAACTTAAACCACTTGCCCTTGTTGGGGTTGGTCAGTGCAGTGCCCCTGTAGGAGAGACAGGTTCATTGTTGTATAATCACACAAACAGAGGTGAGACAGTTGAATAGTTAAATGACCATACTAAGAGAATAAATCACTATAACAAGTCAAGGGTACGATCATCTTGTGTTAAACACTTCTAAGACTCAAAGGATCTAATATACTTGAAACAGTTTAAAAATGGACAAAATGACATGATTTTAATCATCCAAGGGATGGGTGCAACCAGCAAGCATCGTAGTCCCTTGCGTTTTCTGGCTTCGTTTTCCGTCAGTTACATTAGGATAACAGGTGGATATAACAAATTCTAATAAAACCACTCATGTTTTTCTAACCTTCTGTCTCTTATTAATGAATAGTAGTGTCCTGCATTGGCCTGGCCGCTGTGTACGACAATACCGACAAGGTCATATTGTATAGGGTTAGACTCGGAGTTGATGGACGCCGCCTCTATCCCCGATTCTATCTCTCCATTCAGTGAGTCGGTGCCCATGTGTTCACTTTCTGTGCCGCCCAATGACTGTGTGTCAGAACCAGAGCCCCCTTGTTGACCTTCTCTCCTGGCCATCCCGTCCACAGTGTACGGCTCCATATCTAGTCGCCATGGGAACTAGCAAGTAATGAAAGAAAATAATTTTTGTAAAGTTTTAATAAAACAGATATGTTAATAATCTGTGGTAATAATAATAAAACCATTAGGTAGATTAGTAGCGTTGTAGGCTAGCAGCTCTTGAACCTCAAGTAAATGGTGTAACAAGATTTGTTTAGGACTGAAATGAAAAGAAATCAAATAGATGGAGCGCTGCGCTTCCAACATTGAAATGTTGTGTCTTGTCTGCTGAAAAGGGCATCCTGCCGAGGCTTCATTTTAATTGTTGTGTCTTGTCTGCTGAAGAGGACATCCTTCTGAGGCTTCATTTTAATTGTCTGTCTTTTCATTTCAAGCTTAAACATATCTTGTTCCACTACTTCCTTTACTCAGCATGAACGTAGTTCCTCAAATTATTTTATTGAAACTCAAGATTTTGTTTATTGAGTTTGTTTGTTGCTATTGTTTGTTGTTGTGTGCAGATGTGTCTGAGTGGAGATGTCTCTGTGTGGTGATGTCTCTGCGTGGTGATGTCTCTGTGTGGTGATGTCTCTGTGTGGTGATGTCTCTGTGTGGAGAAGTCTCTGTGTGGAGAAGTCTCTGTGTGGAGATGTGTCTGTGTGGAGATGTCTCTGTGTGGAGATGTGTCTGTGTGGAGATGTGTCTGTGTGGAGATGTCTCTGTGTGGTGATGTCTCTGTGTGGTGATGTCTCTGTGTGGAGAAGTTTCTGTGTGGAGAAGTCTCTGTGTGGAGATGTGTCTGTGTGGAGATGTGTCTGTGTGGAGTTGTCTCTGTGTGGAGATGTGTCTGTGTGGAGATGTCTCTGTGTGGAGATGTCTATGTGGAGATGTCTCAGTGTGGAGATGTCTCTGTCTGGAGATGTCTATGTGCAGATGTCTCAGTGTGCAGATGTCTCAGTGCGGAGATGTCTCTGTGTGGAGATGTCTGTGTTTAGATGTCTATGTGCAGATGTCTCAGTGTGCAGATGTCTCAGTGCGGAGATGTCTCTGTGTGGAGATGTCTGTGTTCAGATGTCTATGTGCAGATGTCTCAGTGTGGAGATGTCTCTGTGTGGAGATGTATTGTCCCTGTGTAGAGATGTCTTTGTGGATTACCTTGAAGTAGTCATCAAACTTGAGAGCTCTGTTGGCCTCCCAGTCGTAGCCAAACCTCTTCAGTTGTATGCACAGCAGTGGGGGCAGTTTCTTGATGCACATTCTCTTGATTGTGTTTCTCTGAAATTATTCAACATTGGTTCAACCATCAGACATTAAGTGTACTCCTCTGAAACTATTCAACATTGGTTCAACCAACAGACATTATTCACATTACACTACACACTAACAGTGGTATGCCCCTTAGAGCACTAACATTTATTGATAAAATAGGAAGCAGTTGCATAATGTTTTCAAAAGCACAAATAATTTAACATCAATTAACTGCCAAAAACATATAATATAAGAAACAATAAAATATCTATTGTATTTATGACATTTAATTTTGTTAAAAATAAATTCAACATGTAATAAAATTCTATCAAACACAATATATAATAACATACGTAGAGCAGCATGTCAATTTTTTTTTACAGTTACCCAAGTGTTACTTAAACTTAAAATTTTTGTTTCAGTAAAAGGAGTTGAAGAAGTTTGTAGCCCATGTGGATTGATTCTTATTTAAAAATTAACCATAATAAGCTATATAATCAACACCTTAATTAATATACATTGATAAGCAAAGTGATAAACATTATGAATATATCAATTTCAATATAAATACATTTGGAGACTAACCTTCTCCCCACATTTCTCACAGAAATAAGCATTAGCCCCTTCCAGTAGTTCCCCCTTGACAAACTGGTCTAGTGAATCCTGGAGTGTTGCATTCTTCACAGTCAGGTTCAGAGCAATGAAAGCCTCTTCTCTCTCATACCTTCAAGTGGAAATATAAGTCATCAGTGCACTCTGATAACAGTTCACTCTCATCCCTTTTAAGGAGAAATACAAATCACCAGTGCACTCTAATAATGGTTCTCTCTCAAACCTTCAAGGAGAAATATTAATCACCAGTGCTTTCCGATAACAGTCAACAAAAATATAATAAAAATTTTGCTAGGTACCGATGTGACAATTTAAATAAATAATGATATGCTCGTGAGAGCAACTGTGATATTTTACCTGTGAGGGCAGTCTTTGCAAATTTTTTGATCGGAAAAGATTCCTTGAAATTTCTTTTTGAAAATTTCTTCCTTGCCACTTTCCTGAAAAAAAAAAAAAAAAAAAAAAATTGTTTTTAATAATTAAATCGTTGTTGTTGTTGTGTGGAATTACTTCCCCTATATTTTTTTAATTTAAAAAAAATCATGGGAAATAACTCTTCAATGTTTGGTATTCCATCCCTTCAAATTTTTTATAAACAAAATTAATTCATATATAATATTAATCAAACACAAACATCTTAAGTTATATGTCATCTTAAATTGAATACTAAAAATTGTTTAATGAAAAATCTAATTTAAAAAACAAGATGATCTTCTTTCTATTTATTGAGATGGGATATGTCTAATTTGAAAACTGTTATAGAATATCAAACACGTTTTTAAGTGATAGAAACATTTCTTCAATCAATAAAAGGGCCTCTGCCGTTCATGGCACACGGGATGGTCAAAATGGCCACAAGTCCGGTGCGGAATCGCAATCAAGAGATTTCGGAGGCACAATTTTTAACTCTAGTGGCAGCTGGTGCTCACCTGGCCTGGCGCCCAAATTCTTAATATTGACATGTATGGTGACTGCTATAGGGGATGGTCATTGGCTGACTTGAGGACTTATACAAGGAAAACCTAATCTGGTCAGTCTCTTACATAATCGTTGATCCTAAATAGAATTTTAGGTTAGGATGGGATAAGGCTTTCCATAGATAACTTGACTCAAACAATGGACAGCATGTGCCGCATCAGTTAAATAATATCACATTAGAAAAGGTTTTTATCCTGTCTCTTGCACCATAACTGTTGATCCTAACTAGGGTTTTCTTTGATGGGATCAGGGCTTTGGATAACCAGACTTGGAACAATGTAGGCTCGATGTAAAAAGCTGCAGCAGTTAAAATCTACTTTTTTAGTTTTATGTCAAGGTAAAGCTTTAGTGTTAAGTCACTTTAACCGGGATTTTGAGTTTATAAAAGTATAGTCTACCTTCGTTGGTAATTTAAAGATTGTAATTTGAATACTAATAATTAGAAATAAAAAATGTATTTTAAAAAGTTTAAACACTAAAACGTATAAAGTACTTTTCTTAAAATTCTTTACGAAAACTGTAAATAAGTTAAGTTTGTGCAGAAAATATATTGCAAACATGTATGATTTTCTTCTACTTTTAATAGGAATACTTGGGCTTCATAGAATGCACATACTTTCTATGCGTAATCCATTTTAAGAAATTAAACAAAAATATTTTTTACTTTTTAATGAGTTTAATTAAAGTAATCTTTGAGTTTGATAGAAAGTCTTTTTTTTAAAAAGTATTAAATATTTTTTTCACAGCCCCTTTAAATTTCTAAAAATTACTTGAAAAATGTTACTTGCAAGTGAAAAATGATTTTGAAAGCACAACAAAAAAGAAATCTCAACAAAAAAAACCCCCATTCGAATGGAAGCACCATAGTCCTTACTTTGAAATGAGACAAGAAAAGACAGTGTTTATTCTCTTCAATGGAACAATCTCTTCAATGGAACAAAGTTGTTGAATAAATGTCCAGATGTAACACATAATGTGAAATTGATGTTAGATGATGTCAAGAATCCAACACTACTGGTGAAGCAGTATCCAGGTACTGTACATCATTAAATTATATATCCTACCTTCATCTATTTGATCACTAGAATTCTATAACCTAACTTCATAAGTTCGTCTATTTGATCATTAAATTCTATATCCTACTTAATATGTTCATCTGTTTGATCTTTAAATTCTATATGCTAACTTCCTCTGTTGGTCTATTTTATCATTAAAATCCTACCTTCATATGTTCATCTATTTGATCAAGTACAGCCTGAAAGAAATCAAAAGAATCCTGTTGTTCTCGAATATTGATAGAGTGGCCCCAAAGTTTGAAGACCTGCCAGAATTTCTCAGGCTCATGAGCCTGTAGGCGACTTTCCATCAAATGACCAAACATTTGCTGCACTTGGTAAAACACTCTGTGTTCAAATGAAACAATTACAGTCAGTACAGTCAAAGTTCATTTAGATGTAAGAATTACATAAATCACTTAAAGTGAACCAATTAGAGATCCCATCATCTCAAAGTGGACTAAGAAAAAAAAATCCTATTTAAAATAATAATAATAAAGTTCATTTCAAAAACACGCTTCATCCCCAAAGGCTCGAAGCGTGGTACAAAGTCAACAAAAAACAAATCTATAATTTACCACGTTTAAAACAAACGCAATACTACAAAAACTAATTACAAGCATACATTGTCAAAGTCTTTCAACCCATTTCAACTGTGAGCAACACATCTAATATGCATTAAATGGAAAATATGGTAGACAATCATCCCAGAAAGTGTTTGCGAAATAAATGTGTCTTTAAATCGGTTTTAAAAGACTCCAGTGTCTGGATGTTTCTGAGATCGAGTGGAAGGGCGTTCCAAATTGTTGGACCAGCAAACGCGAAAGTGCGCTTTCCGCAAGTCTCAAGGCGAACACGTGGTGTCAAGAGTTTGCCACTGTCGGATGAGCGGAGTTGTCTGGTTGGTACATAAGGCGTCAGCAGCTCTTTCAGATAGGACGGCGCCAGGCCATGTAGACAGCGGTAGCACAAAGTTGCGATTTTGTACTCTATGCGAGTACGCACCGGCAGCCAATGCAACTCTCTCAGAATTGAATTTGCATGGTCGAACTTGCTTTTGCGGAGAACAATTCGAGCCGCATTATTCTGTACTATCTGAATTTTATCAAGGAGCATAGCTGGAAGACCCACCATGAGAGAATTGCAATAGTCCATGCGTGATAGCACAAATGCAGACATCAGCAAATAGACCAATATTACCAACTTGAAGTGAACCAATACGAAATCCAAACAACTTAACCAATGAACTGTCAAAAAAGTGGAACAAGATATGCTAAAGATAGAAATGAAAAGTGATGATAGTTTAAGCAGGTCAAGTTCTTATCGTGGAAGTAGTGGAAAATAGGGTATTCATTAATTTAATAGGCATTATATAAAGAAATAATTCAAAGTATGAGAAAGCCAGAAAAAAAAAAAGAGGATGCGACAAAAGAGCTAAAGAAGGCTTCTTGCCAACAGGTTTGTTGCGCCCTTTTTTCAGGTTTTCTCACTTTGTTTGACTTATCTCCTTTTCCTTCACCTGATTGCAGTCTCTCCGCCTTATTATCATTTTAAAGAAGTATGTGGGTTATCAATGAATCAATTTTTTTTAACTACCGTATCTATAAACCCAAATAACTTTATATTTTCTTAAATGAAAGAATAATGCTTCATTTGTCTGATAAACTTATTTAGATGATGAAAATGACACAGAAGTCAGTATGGGTATGAGTTGAAGAATGATAAACAGTATCACAGTCATATGATTCCACATAGCTAACAGAATTCGAACATTCATACTATGATTCCTTGTCTTATTTACCATATGATTCCTTGTCCTATTTACCAGATGATTCCTTGTCCTATTTACCAGATGATTCCTTGTCCTATTTACCAGATGATTCCTTGTGCAATTTACCATATGATTCCTTGTCCTATTTACCAAATGATTCCTTGTGCTATTTACCAGATGATTCCTTGTCCTATTTACCATATGATTCCTTGTCCAATTTAATATAAGATTCTTTGTCCAATTTACGATGTTTCCTTGTCCAATTTACCATATGATACTGTGTCCAATTTAACATAAGATTTGTTGTCCAATTTACCATATGATACTGTGTCCAATTTAACATAAGATTCGTTGTCCAATTTACCATATGATAACTTTGCCAAGTTACTCTAAGAATATCTTTAATTATACGGGTCTCTGGATTCATTTTCTGTAAGTTTTGGGATTTCAGTGATACATACCAAAGTTACTTAAAAAAAAGTTGACACCCACAACACGTTTGCATTTGACAGCTTGTGGGTTAAAGTGGACTAATAAAAAGTACAACAGACTTAAAGTGGACCAATGATGAGTTTATAGAAGAAACTTACGACTCTTCGTCAGGTTGGTCCTCATCAACACTGAGCACTGCCTCAGGTACCCCTGGGGTCATATAAAGCTGCTGCAGCACTGAGTTCATGTAGCAGGTGGCCCCTCCATTCTTTAGTCCTACATATCCACAGCTCGCTCGGCCATCCACTGGCGGCATGTACTAGGAGAAGGGAAAGTCACCATTATTTATAACAGCGGTTTTCAACCTGGGGGCCGCTTCCCCCTTGGCGCACGAACCTTTCCCAGGGGTCGCCTAAGACCATCGGAAAACACATCTACTCTAGTTATGAAGTAGCAATGAAAATAATTTTATGGCTAGGGGTCGCAACAACATGAGGAACTGTATTTAAGGGTCGCAGCATTAGGAAGGTTGAGAACCACTGATTTTTAATCTCTATAGTTCACTTAACCTCATTCGTTCAATGTTTCATTAGTAATTCAGTTTAAAGTTTAAATAGTAATTCAGTTTAATGTTTCAATAGTAATTCAGTTTAATGTTTCGATAGTAATTCAGTTTAATGTTTCAATAGTAATTCAGTTTAATGTTTCAATAGTAATTCAGTTAAATGTTTATTAGATTATTTAGCGATAAAGTGCAATAATACATTCTAAAAAAAACAACAAATATTAATTAATTTATTTCTTGCGTTTTGGATAAAAATATGAGTGACTGTAAGTTTTCAGTAACTAAAAGGTCAGACCTCTAGCCTGCATTTAAATAGTGCTATTGTTAAAGTTTTCAGTAAATAAAAAGTCATGTAGGTTTTATAGACTGCTTTACCTCCCATGAAAGAACATCTTAGCTCCCATGAAAGACCGGCTTACCTCCCATTCCTTGTTGTCAATCAGCTGATGGTGCATTATGAGCAGCTCCTTACAGATCAGCTTCAGGTTGGCCAGGCAATGATTAGACAGCTCTGCCAGGAGGTCATACGCTGCAACACGAGACTCAGAGTTGGAACATCTGAAATGTTGATCAAATCTTAGAAACCTTGCAGCACACAGGCAATGTCCAAAGACAAGGTGACACAGCTCCATAGAGACATTGTAAAATGACAAGGTGACACACTCAGATGGATGAAAGAATAATTAACAGAGAGATGAAAGCATTTATGACTAAGCATTAGATTCAATCTTAGGGACTTCCTAAGTACGTTCGTACCGATGGGGGAAGGCTTGTCAATTTTGGAAATTTATATATGCATGCATAGGGCCCGTAGGGGGGTTGGACGTCTCTCTCTCTCGGCAGAAAGTACAAACATTTATTCACAAAAGTGAAATAAAAATTCTGCAATAATTTTCATGAAATTCTGAGTCTATAAAGAGCATTTTGTAAATGTCATCACACTGTTGCTCAGTGTTTTCACAAGAAGTGAACATGCTATAAATCACACTAATAGTAGGGTAGCAACAGTAATATTTTGTCACCTTTTTGCCTTTGAAGCCACTAATAAAAAATGTCATATGTTTAGGGCAAATTGTGCGTGGGTGGGAAAAGAGGAAGGGGGGGGGGGCGCTCCACAATTTTGTGATGAAGTGTGTTTAAAGCGTGTTACATGTATCTGATTTGTGTCGAAAAAAAAAGGGCAGGGGTGGGCAGGGGGAAGAATCTGCTGAAGGTTGGTGTCATCATTTATGGCATGGTCCTTGGGTATGTTCCATGTGCATGATGTATTTAGTTAATTTTGTTCAGCTGTGCAAGTAGTTCCTAAAATTGTTTGATTTTCAGAGCCCTGGCCAAAGTTAGGTTTTTACCAGGCGCACTGAATCAATTTCTAAAAAATTACACTTCTTCAAGTTAGCAATGACATTTTTATTAAATAATAAAAGGTTACCCCTCCCCATAGCCCTGCCAAGGGCTACACAACATCCCAGGGTGAAGTGTCACACATTTGGGGAATCTGGGCTTGCCAAACAGTTGTGGAAAGACCCTGACAAGTTTTTTTTGGTGTGACGTCATAATTATGTAAATATAAATTGAGTAGTTGGTGGTTTTTTTGGGTGGTGGTGGAGGGGGGTGGGTGGTAAAAACCCATATTAAATAGGCCTAGGGGGTATATTAAAAAAAGGGATGTGTGCAAAAGGAGGAGGGGTGGAAAATTTGACTTTTTTTGTGTAAATAATATATGGATGGCCCCTCATAGGACAGTTAGCAAAATAATGTTAAGTTTCTTACTTGGGATTAAACTCCATTAGACTACTGTCCTGGGCTGGCTGGTTCATACTGTCTAACATTAGTTTGGAAGCAGGAAACAGGAAGTCATGAAGCAGGTAGCTGACCAGGCTGGAACCTGGTGATTTAGACATTACATAATGAAACATTTAGAAACTTAAGACAAACATCAGTGACATTTCTGATTACATAATTTGAACTAGACTAATTGGCCTGGTCTCTTTAAAACTAATAACGGTTGTGAAAACTAATAATGGTTGTAATGGCAAAAGTTGCACAGCATTGGTATTAATTATTGATGGTGGTAACACAAATAGTAAAGAATTGATAATAACTACTGATAGTGGTCACCAAGTAGTAGTATAGAAATGACCTTAGCTATTGATTTTGTTAACGCAAGTTGAAGTATAGAATTGATATTAACAACTGATGGTGGTAACATCATTAATTGTATAGTATTTATAAGAACTTCTAATGGTGCTAACTCCGGTATTCATAGAGAAATAGTAAAACAGAAAATTAAGTACAATAAATTAGAATGAACATTTATTTCATGATTTATAACACTAACAAATAACTGAAGTCATTCTTTTGGTATTCGTAAACTCTGAACTGATGAGCTGTGTTTAGAATTAAATAGTCGTATAACAAAATATAAATTTGGGGTGAAATTTTAAAACACGTCTTTCAATTAAATTATTTCCTAATTTGTTTTTGCGATTGTTTGATTGAAAGGAATAAAAGAGTTACCCACCATGGCCTGCCTTGTCGACACCCTCACATGTTAGTAATGTTCTTATCAGCTTGAGGTGTCCTGCCAGTAAGGTGTTGTCTGTTTGTTGGAGGTCGGCATGGCGTGAGGGGACAAAATTGCTCAGCCAGGCAATCTCATCTTCAAGCATTGACTCTAAGTCAATTCCCAGTCCATTTTGTTCCAACACTGAAAATTTTTTATATCAATTACTAAGTCAATACCCAGTCCATTTTGTTCTAACACTACACTATAAGATTAAATCAATTCAATACAGGCCAATATTGTTATTAATATGAAAAACTTATTTAACATGATACATTTTCAAAAGAATGATTGATTTAAAAAACAACAACAATGATTTCAAAACTAGTAGCTACAGGTTGAGGAAATAAGATGCACACAGTAAGAGAAATCTTGATAAGCTACATCATGATCATCTGTTAAATTATATTTTATTCTCAGATTCAGAACAATTTTTCATTTTTCCAGACCTGTTTACCCTCAAACTCTTAAAATCGTACAACATCATCACAAAATCGTTCAACACGTTATATTTATAGTAAAAATAAACATACAGCATATATAATGTATACACCTCAAAATCGTACATTGTATGCCAAAATCGTAAGAGTAAACAGGTCTGTTTTTTGTGTACATTTTGTTGTGAACTTTGTTGAGGAAGCCTTTGAGTCCCAACCTTTGCTGTTGCTTGGCTCTGTTCCAAGTTTTCACTTTATGGGTATTTTGTTTATTTCCTTATTTTACGACCTGGTAAATCTGCATTTTATTGGTCACCCGTAAGTTAAGAGGTTCCTGATTAAAGTCTACTTACAAGATAAATTTTCTAAGAGTCGACATCTCAGCTCAAAATACTGGGAACATTGGTTTAGAAGTCTTAAAAGAAGAAATCAGAAAGAACAAGAATCAAATGTACAGATATGCCAGTTAAAAAAATACATAAATTATCTGGCTATGCCAGTAAAAAAAAATTGTCTGGTATGCCAGTAACAAAACCATTGATTAAAATTGATGCAATGTTCCTATAATTAAAACATTTGAAATAACAAAACTTTGGACAAAATGACTTATTAAAAATACCAACTTTTGTGTGGATCCCCGAGCATTAGATGATGACACCCAGAATGGAAGGTACGCTTTGAGTAACAGCTTCAAGATAAACTGTCGTGGCGTCTGTACTGCGTCACCCATCTCAGGGTTAGATAGCTCCAGCTTGGACAGGAGAAAGAGCTGCTCAAGAGTTACATCCCTTATATTGGCAAGAGGACAGCCCACAAGAAGTTCCAAGACAAACTCACTGACATACGGCAGCGTGTAGAATGACACTATAAGAAAAAGCGTGGAAACAACTGTAATTAAATAGTTAAATACTAGAAGCAAAACAACGATGTCCCTATGATAGTAACTATCAGATGTTCTGTAATAAGCTATTTGACAAATGCTTATCTTTAAAAAAAAAAAAATTATCTAGAACTGACTGGAAGTTAGACAGGACTGATTTAACACCCAGAAACAAGTTACACAGGGCATAATTACTCACTGACTAAAATTCACACACAGAACCTACTTACGCAGGACATAATTACTCTTTGAATCAAGTTCACGCACAGAACCTAGTTATACAGGACAATAATTACTCATTGAATCAAGTGACATTATTGACATAGTGTCATACAACTCATTTTCCATAGCCACATACAATTAAGCAAACATCCCACACAGTTCAGCAACAATTTAAGACCTATTGTTCCACCAGTGTCTTGCCTGAATCTCACCTAATAATTCCTTTCTTAGCTGAAGACATGTTATTAAAATTTCTAGAGCCTCCTTGGCGATGTTGGCATCCTGAGTAGGAATGGTCACATGATGAGAGTAGATCCCTGTGTGGTGGGCCTGAGAATCACTGTCACTGTTGGTGCTGGCTGAACTGCCTGTAAGAGAAGGGATGAACGAATTGGTTCAATTAGCATTTGAGATGATACATTCACTTGTTGTGACATGAAAATCATTGTCACTGTTTGTGCTGTCAAATCAGCCAGTCAGATTGCTCTGATAAATTAACAGTAACTATAGAGAAGGGCTTGCAATCTAAAAGTGTTGAGAATCAAAGATTTAATCATGCGTACCAGGGAGGTCAGCAGAAAACCCAAAATTTCAGTAGCTCCTTTTTTATTACAACAATGTTTGACTTAACTCTATCAATTCATCAATTTTTTTTCTACATATTTGTACCTGCACTACGATTTACCTGTACTACTTTGCCTGCTTCTATGGCCACAGCCAAACCCTTCCCTGCTGTCTTTGATTGGCTGGTTAGAGCTGAGGAGGTGGAGCCTCCCCGATGCTGCTGCCCATGTGACTTTCATGAAACAGGAAACAGTTTCTACAAACTCTTGTGTGCTTAAACTCTAAAATAGAACAACTTCCAAATTAAGTTAATTCATTATCACATGAAAAACTAGGAATATTTAAATAACAGAATCAGGATGATGATCAGATAGATTAGCTGTATGAAATTACTTCATCTAATGGTAATCTAATACTATATTTAATTAACAAAATGATCAGATATGATAATTCTCATTTATAGGTCATTTAATACTGACAGAACCAATGACACCTCAAGTATAGCAACACCCCCCCCACCCCCCCACCCCAATTTATTGGTCATATAATATTCAATCAACTCCATGATCAGATACCTGAATGGCATGTCCCCATTTAGAATTACTTCTCAGTGGTGATGGCAGCAACGCAGCTGAGCCAGAGTCCTTGTTTGCCTCCCCTGTCACAGTTTGTCCACAGAGCAGGTACCTGTTGATTTTATACAGGATATTTCATCACGAACTTGAGAAAGTGCTTTACATAATCAGATAGTGTGTGATTAGAGGATAGTGTGTGATATTAGGATAGTGTGTGATAACAGGATAGTGTGTGTTATCAGGATAGTGTGTGATATTGGGAGAGTGTGTGTTAAATATAGTGTGTAGTGTGATAACAGAATAGTGTGTGATAACAGGATATTGTGTGATAACAGCACAGTGTCTGATAATAGCATTGTCTGTGTCCATATGTGTAGGGAGCATAATGAGGGTGCATTATGAATGCATAATATAAAGTTGTTGTGTGGTGACACATCCTTAATGTTGTATGGGGTTTTTCACATTGATACCATTATTATGTTGTATAGGGTGGTTCACCTTGATACGCTTATTATGTTGTATGGGGTGGTTCCCCTTGATACCATTATTATTATTTTGTATTGGGTGTTTCATCTTAATACCACTATTGTAATGTTAGAACTTTCATGAAATAGCCACTGAATATAAACAGAGAAATTCTATCAAATAGCCACTGAATATTAACGAAGAAATTCTATCAAATAGCCACTGAATATTAACAGAGAAATTCCATCAAATAGCCACTGAATATTAACAGAGAACTTCTATCAAAAAGCCACTGAATATATCCTGAGGAATTATTTCACTAACTATTGACATTAAGTAAGTTTGTACCTTATTTAATTTATTATATACGGCATATAAGTCTAAGTGTTTATTTTTATGTCATATTGTTTTCACTGTTGTTTTTCACTAAAGAAGGCTTTTTGTCGACATGTTCCTTGTTGTGTTGCATGCTTTTTTTCTTTTTTCCCCCCATACTTTGTTTTGCTCATTACTTTATTGTTCTTTGACAAGGACTTGAGTTTTTTTTTATACATGGTGGCTGATTTTTGCACTTATGTTTAAATTCTACTAGGTAAATTAAAAAAAATATTTATCAGAATTTTTATCTATATGCTGCAAAAGAATATTATAATGTAATCAAAACACATTTCCATTTCTTTGGATCAATAAAAGAACCTTAATTTATAAATTACCTGGCCAGTTGTAAGCAGATTGAGTAGCATCCTTGCCTAATTTCATAGTTGATATCAGCGGGCAGTGACTCAGGCTGCAGAACACTGACCACCAAGGAAAGACCTTCATTTAGCAGAAACTCCATACAGAAATTCTGGGCACTTGCCTGCATAGCTGGATCTTCAGAGGTAGGCATCAGTTTGCTGCTGAGAACCTGTCAAATAAGAAAATTTTGTTATAACCTTGATATTTAATTTATGCAAGATAGTATTTTTAGAGAATGCATTAAAATTGTGGAAATTTATGAAATTATAGTATAATTCTTCTTCTTCTTATGCCTTTTTACCCCGTCTGGGGCATAGGCCATCCACAAGAACTTTCCACTCCTCATGGTCCTGTGCTTTCCTTTCCAATTGCTTCCAGGTGTATGCCAAATTTTGCGTGTCTGCCTCTAACTCACATCTCCATGTATGCTTAGGCCTTCCTCTCTTTCTTTTTCCCTGTGGGTTCCATGTTAGGCATTGTCTGGTGGTGCTGTCTGGGGGTTTTCGGAGAGTATGCCTTATCCACGTCATAGTATAATTAGAACCCACTAATTTTTCAGTAACCACTTCATTTTTAATAGATTTAAATGAGGAGTAATGAGAAAAGCTTCTAGGTTTTTAATGTTAACAAAATTGATGGAAGGTCTTGAGTATAATTATTATTCTTTGAAAGCCTTAAGATCTCAACTGTTTATACAAAGGTCTTGAGTCTACTCATTATTCTTTGAAAGCCTTAAGATCTCTCAACTGTTTATACAGCATTATTTAAAAATTAAACTTTGGATAAGTCGATAACTATGATGGGGGTCAAACTCAGTTACTCCCTGTTATAGATTTCGTGTCCGAAAGTAACTTCAAAGAAATAAAAAAATCAAACCAAAATCAAGTTTCTAGTTTTAGTAGTGTTTGAAACAGCATTGTTGACCATGTGAGCTATTTCATCTTCTTATGGCTGTGGTCCCTGATTCTGTGGCCATTTTCTGCTGTTTCACTTGGCCCACTCTCAGTTTAATGATCAGCTGAGGTTATTAGTTTGAGGACCCCTGTTACAAGCTCTCATTTCAAAGCATAATTTTAAAAATAGACTTTATCTCTGGTATACTGATGAATAAATGTGTTGTGGGGTGTTTAATCACATATTAAATAGCCCTGTTGGGACATGATGGACACAGCATTAATGTTTGTTTGTAACTCTTCATTTCCCTGTAGGGCTATTTCTCACACAAGTTAACATCAAATAGAACAAAAACCAAGTGTGGCACAAGTAGGACCTTGTTGAAAGAAGTCAAGTCTGAGGAAAGGGGAAATGAGGAGTTGTTCAAAATCATACTCAGGATGATTATAAAATAGCTGCAGACACTCAAATTTAAATTGTAAAGAACTGTAGAGACAATACCTCTAAACTGTATAGAGACCCTTACCTCTAAACTGTATAGAGACCCTTACCTCTAAACTGTATAGAGACCCTTACCTCTAAACTGTATAGAGACCCTTACCTCTAAACTGTATAGAGACACTTACCTCTAAATTGTATAGAACTCGAAAGGCACTCATTTCAGGCTGGCTGCTATTAAACAAATATTTCATCGTCTCCTTAGGAGACAGTCGAGGATTAGAAACTATCGTGGGGAGACTTTTCTTGGGGCTTGACTTGACATTTGATAGGTCCTCAGATGAAGCAGCTGACTTCATGCTCTGTTAAAAGGAAGCTTTTCTACATATGAGAACTCTCAGCTTTTGTACAACATCGAAGACTTAATATTACCATGACAGAAATGGATCACTGTCTTCAATGCTATCAATCCATATTAAAAATAAATATTTCAGTGAAAGGATAGCTTTAAAAATTAATTTAGCTTCTCTTAGATTTTATGTCAAGAGATTTATCTAAAGAAAAATTCCATAAATCGACGCCATTAATATTACACCCATAAAAGTGCTTTTATTTTTAGCTATGAATGGCTCTATTGAAAAGGTATTATTACCTAACTTTTCAAAACGCACACTCATTTTTGCTCAACAAACAGAATGCATTTTTTAAATTTATCAAAAATACTTAATTCGAAGCCTATTCATTGAAATAAAACACATGGTCAAAGACAGGCTGCTTGCATTATACAGTTTTATCTAACCTAAGACAGATCTTTCTGACCTATTAGAGATCTATTTGGCCTATTAGAGATCAAGTTGACCTATTATAGGTAGGCTCTACAGCAGAGTTTCCCAAAGTTTATAGGTTGGCAGACCAGTGGTGAAGTTTCCAAATTGCACCAGGGACCAGCACCAGATTTATTAATTATATTTATTTTTTTATTTGACCAAAAATATTCATTGGGCCACCATTTGGGAAACAGTGCTATAGAGGACTGTAAATGAAATATATTTAACTGTTTTCTTAAACACACAATAATACACATCTTTATCTTCTGAATGGGGCACCACTGAAACAATGTGGCCCAAGCAGCAGATGTTGCTTCTTCTCAAACTACAAAACAGATTGTGTCAGAAAGATTAAATTCTTAATTACCTTCTGACCAATCAAATCAAGCGCCTCAGAGACAGCAGGGTCAGTGGGGATCAGCATAAGAAGTTTTTGGACTCTTTTGGTGATTCTAAAAGTTTGAAAAAGTTCATCAGTTACATAAACATTCATTTAATGTGTATAATCAGACATTTATATAAAGTTATTTAATTCATACTCCATTTGCCTCTGTCATTATGGACCAATATTTTATACCACATACAGAATTCCTTTTAAAACTACTGCTGAACCACACAACAGTGTTATAAATGGGTCCATAAAATCGGATTTCATTAATAGCGGGTAATAGCGGGGTTGCATTGCAGCTGGGTTTCACTATGTTCAATGTGAATAGAGTTGGGAGTTTTCTAAAAGGAAGAAGATACATGCTTTAATTTTTAAAAAGGATTTTTTAAAACTCCGGTAACTCTGGCCACACACTTCAAATGAAATAAGAACTAACACCAGAGGTTTGAGAACCACTTACTTGGGCTCATCTAGTTCTGTAAGCTGATAGAGCATTTCAAAGACAACACCTCCTTTGGCCATAACAACACCAGGCAACATTTTTTCCTATCAACACAATTACATGAAACAAGGTTTTAGAAACAGGGCAGGCCAAAACCAGACCTTTGTAAACAAATATGCACTCAATATTGCATCATAAGAGTTATTGTGAAACAATAAGTCTGTTAGATTTATATTGTATAGTAAGACTTGTACAATAAGTCTGTTAGATTTATATTGTATAGTAACACTTGTACAATAAGTCTGTTAGATTTATATTGTATAGTAAGACTTGTACAATAAGTCTGTTAGATTTATATTGTATAGTAAGACTTGTACAATAAGGGTGTTAGATTTATATTATAAAGTCAGACTTGTGCAATAATTGTGTTAGATTTATATTGTATAGTAAGACTAGTACAATAAATCTGTTAGATTTATGTTAAGACTTGTACAATAAGTCGCTACATTTATATTGTATAGTATGACTCAATCTAACAGAAGATTAAAATAGAGGGGTTACCTGTTCTATGTCATAATTCTGTTTTGAGGTTGTACTTGAGGCCTGCACAAATAATAAATTTATCTTCCCTTTAATACACAAAATTCAACTCTAAATTGGTTGGACAATTACCCATTAATGGCCAATGCCAAAGAATCAGCCAATGATTATTTATTTTGTATTTTGGCCTTGAAGTGCCAATTATAAGGGCCAAATTAGCGAGGGACATATTGATTCTATTATTTTACAGTTGTCTGGACTTGCAGCTAACAACTTGAGCATTTTCAAACGCTCATCAGCCAATAAATCAGTCACAAAAAGCTGATTATGGATTAATCCGTAAATTGACAATTAATTGGTGCAGCCCTAGTAAGGATATTCTAAGATTAACCGTCCCTTCACCACCAAACTTTATAGAGATGTTTTAATAAACAAATACAAAGACAGAACATCAGCAGCATGTGCACCGTTATATAACATACACACATCTGTAACACACACATCTATAACCAGACATATCTAAACACATTTCTATGACAAAACACATATCTACACAAACATCTATAATAACTCACATATCTACACAAACATCTATCACCACACACATGTCAACAACTAGACATATATCTACACACACATCTATAGCCAGACACATATCTACACACACATCTATAACCACATACATTTATTTACACGCACATTTATTTCCCCACATATTGACACACACATCTATAACCACACATATTTATCTACACACACATATCCAAACCAACATACATAATATAGTAATAAATAATAATATCCATATACTAAAAACATACATACCCCTTTATCTAAATCCTTGTCATCCAATTTTCATGAAATAAAAACATAATTAATGTCAATCCATCGCTGTAAACATTGTCTTGTATAATTGATACACATTGATTTTGTTAGCATTATACATTTTTTAAACATATTTTATAATAGATAACATCTTTTAAGAAATAATAAAAAAAAAAAAGTATTTGAATCATCTTGTTGAAAGAAATAAATAGCTTAAACTTGAACAAAAAAGAGGACAACGAGTTAAAAAAAAAGCTCATCATGTGGCAAGGGTACCTCTTTAACAATGCCAGCTCCCATTGACTTGGCTGATTGTGTGTTGGAAGATGCTTGTGGCTGCGAACTGCTGGTGTCACCTGACTCAGTCACATCTTTACTGGTGGCCTGTGAGGAAGAGTCAATGATGGAGAGTTAATTGAAATCTGAACAACGCCAACTTGGACACTCTGGAGCAAGCTAATGAACAAAGTTAAATGTTCATTCCGTCAAGTTGATCAACAAAGGAAATGTTCAGAGTGTCAAGTGAATGAACATAGTGAAATGTTCAGTCTGTCAAGTTAACTGATTAGCTACCAGATTGAAAAATCTGTTGTGGCCGAATTACATCTATGTCACATTTACTACGATAATAACATTGGCGCTATCAGCAGCTCGTGGTCATAACGAAAGAATGGCCCAGCCGCTCCCACTGACTTATGGTAGTTAACCAGTTAATGAACAAAGTGAAATGTTCAGTCTGTCAAGTTAAAGCTGTAAAACTGCCATGGGCATGTTATCTGCAAACAATAACTTAACACGGGAGTTGCTCCTTGACGCCAAAGTAAAGACAGATGATGTAATAGATGCAATGTGAGTCAAGTCCTGACCTTGGTCAGCTCTCGCATCAAACTGACCTCTTTGCCGAGTCCACTGGGTCCTGACGCCATCGATGTAGATCCTGACTTGGATGTAGACGATGTGCCTAGATGGACTTGTAGCACGCTTTTGTCTGTCAGATCAAGTTGGTAAAGTAGAAGCTGGTCCTTGGTCATGCACAGCTGGAGGACATGGTATTATACAAATCAGATAACACAGAGTGGCACAGAAAACAATTTGGTCAGTGAGGATTTTCTAATGTTCTCTGTCACACTGTCTTTGTCTCTGTCACAATGTCTTTGTCTGTCATATTATCTTTGTCTCTGTCACATTGTCTTTGTCCAAGAATGACTGAGTTTTCAAAATGAACAGATCATGAAAGGTCTGCTGGATTAATTTTCTAAAATTCAACTCTTGCAATAGAATTTCTTGTATGGCATCTGCTGTCAAAAATAAAATGACTTAAAGATGCTTGATTAATGTTTTCTTACGTATCTTAACAAGATCTGGTGCTACTCACCAATTTATCACTAGTAAACATCTGGAAAAAATCTAATACTACTCATGCATTTATCACTAGTATGTATCTGGACAAGATATGATACTACTCACCAATTTATCATTAGTATGCATCTGGACATGATCTGATGGCTGGTTTATGTTCAACAAAACTTTTCTACGCACAGATCCCAAAGTTTCATTGCTGTGACACTGCATACACAAAAGATACAAGATCATCTCACATGTTACAAATACAACCAAGTGAAAACAAAATGCCCTATAAAGTTGTATTTTTTCAATTTTCATAGTTTCTCTTATAAAAATATCTACATGTCTTTGCATTCTAACTTATAATTACTATTATAAATATTGAGCAGCTGTTAAATGAAAGGACTCTGTCATGGACTATCTATACAGCCAGAGCAAAGTTATTAAACAGCTCACTTTTTAAATTCTTTATATTAACTTTGCGTTTGTTGGTGTGTTTCTGGCTGGGTGGCAAATCTTCATACGGTTAATTGAACCACTTCCAGTCAACCTATCGAGCTGAAACTTGACAAATAGAGTTGTTGCCAATGTATCCCACTCAATTTTCAGCCCCACCCAAACCCCAAAAATCAGTTTTTCCTATTTTTTAAAGAGGAAGATGAAGGAAATACAATGAAACTCATTTCACGAAATAAAATTCCCAATTACTGCACTAAATGAGATTCTTTAACAAAAAATCTCACGTGTGTTTGGCGCGTAATATTTTCTTTTGTTTTTTTTTTTAAAAATATCTGGTGAAATAAATCTGTTGTGTAACAGGAGGTGGGTCATTAGCTTATTAATATAGTTTAGGGGCGTGGACAAAGAGTGTGTTTGCGAGCCTGGGGGTGGGGGGAGAGAGCATAAATTAAGATTCTTATAAAAGTGCGTTACTTGTGTGCATGTTTTGCCAAATTTTCACCGTCACCATTAAAGTGTATGATGTTGCATTTCATAAAGGATTTATACGAACAAAACTTTGTTTTTAGGGGTTGTTTAAATTCTCTTAAATAAACCATAAGTAATGACAAGCAAATTGATGACACAAACAAGAAATGGGGAGACACAGAAACATTGGGATGGTGGGAGTTCATTTGTTCTGATTTGAGTGATTAGCATATGGTAATGTATATTACCACATACAACATGATCAACAAATGATGAAAACCCCAAACTTTTTCTAATTGAAAAAGGCCCTAAAATGCTGCGTCCACTTAAATGTGATCAGATAATGTTCTATAACCTTGAATCAACTTAAATATGATGAGAATAAAATATATCTGCGCTTAAATTTAAGTAAAGTGTTATTAGAAGTAAATTTAACATAACAATTAAAGAGCTATTTTGAGTATTTTTAATCTGAATGTAAGAGTTAAGATATTCTTTTTATTATCAATAAATGGATGTCATGTATTACTATGATTAATTTGTAATGACATTTATCAGAAAAATCCGAAAAATCTCTTGTTTATTATTGAATTAAATGAAGTTGAAAAGGGGAAAATATTGGATATAATTTTCTTTGAAACTAAGGACATCATAATTTTTCCTAAGATACAGTTCAAGGGCAAAGATGCAGAGTGGGCACATATTTATGAGGATAACAATATTTTATATTAAAAATTTATTGTAATTATTTTGAGAATAAACATTGAAAATGTGAAATAACAAGAGAGAGGACATTATTTTATGATAGCAATTTAAAAAAACAACATTTTACAGAGTCAAAATTAAATCTTTAAAAAAGATAATATAAAATTTATTATTACAAAAATACAGTTCAGGGGTTATGAAAAAGTATTTCTTTAAAAAAAAAAAGAATTTTTCTTTCCGATTCGCACAAAAACAGTTCGGGGCCATGGGAAATTTTTATGAGATAAAGAATTGTTTTAAAAAAAACACAAGACTGCTAGACTTGAAAATTTGATAAGAGATTATTCTTGAACTATATGTATTCTGTTTAAACGATTTCCCGACAATATAGTTCAGGGGTGCAGCAAAGGTTGGGCAAATTTTTAATGACATTACTAATATATCTAAATCTGTTAATGTTGCAGATATTTAAAATGTTGCATAGTTTACATTTTTTAAAAAGTTTTAAAAACATGTTTTAACAATTTTTAGGAAATATTACTATTATTATTATTAGTGGTCTTACATAGCCCGGTACCCCAGCCATGTTTTCTTTGTAATTTAGTGGCCTGAAAAATTTTCTGATTAGCCTATATTATTAAACAGAAAATAATTCTTAAAACTCAATGATGTGAGAAAAGTAAATATCTATAAATAGATTCCTTTTTTAAATTAAAAAAGTCTAATTACCTATTTTCTAAATAAATGTTACAAGGTTGCTGAAAATAGTCCTATCTTTTGTTTAAGGATATAATAATTCAAAATACGTAAAAATTGGATTTGTAGATCTTGAGAATTGTGCAGGAACAGGTGGAAAGTAGCGCATTATGCCCTCTATTATAATCTAGGTAACACTGGGTCATTTATTCCAGTTATTAATAATACAATTCAAATTAACCCTCATGAGACGGAGGATTTTTGGACTGTCTGTGCCAAGAAGCAGGAGCCCTTTTCACAAGCTCTGCCCTTAATTTGCAAAAATATTTATACAAAATAAATAATTACATAACAAAAATAGAACTACATATATTCTTGTAGGGAATTGAATGAACCAATAAAATCTGTTTAAATCAAATTGAAACTACTTGTTTGGTACAGGATATACAACTTCTTTGTTAAGTACAAGATGCACAACTATTTTGTTCAGTACAACAATTATCATTACTTGTAGCGTAAACTCCTGTCTCAGGGCCTCACACTTGACTTGTATATTGAGCTGGTAGCCATGGAAGGACGCCCCATGGGGGAGGATGTTACGAGGAACACAGTGAATTTCTTCCACAGAAAGGATGTAGGCCTCAGCAATCCATAACAAACGTTCTATTGCTAGGAACTTGATTGATCTGATGAAAGAATAATTTTGGGGTCGTTAGACTATCATTGAAGTGATAATAGATAATTGTTATTGATAATCAGTGGGGCTTAGTGGCATAGTCAGTAAGACATTAGTCAAGCAATGTGATGGTGTTAGGATTAAACACTGATAAAAATGTATAAGACTAGCGCAACACAACATCTTCATTATTGGTGCCATAGTAAAAAAGTTCGATCTTGTAGTCAAACACAGTACATTAGTCAGAACCAAAGAGAAATTTGAATTTTTAAATATTCATCTTGGATACTAGGAGTATTTTATGAATCATTTGATACTAGATTATTAAAATGATAACAATAACAAAAGTATTAAAATAATAACAAAAGTATAAAAACAATAATGTTTTGTAATCCACATACCTGGAGGGAAGGGGCACGTTAGCGACATCAGGGACTATGGCAGCCGTGACAACTTTGGTGGCATTGGACACGGTATGAGCAACAACATTGCCACCCATTCCCATTCTAGCAGTCTAACAAACAGAAAGTAAATATTTCATTAAGTGACAAGGGCACAAACATCTTGTATGAGCTTAACATGTCTTCTTCTTATATTTGAGGGGCCCACGATCAATTTGTTGATCATTCTGGCTTCTGGTTTAAAATCAGAGTTTTGCCTTCTCTTAGATGGGTTGCCGTCCAAGGCTAACGAGTCCCATCCACCCGGAGTGCTTGAGATGTTGGCTTTGGTGGGGATTGAACTCCAGACCACCAGGTATTTGGTTTGGGGCAGTTTAGACCGCTCGGCCACCCCAGCACTTGTGTTTATTTACGTATCTGACATTCATTGATTTACAACCCAATAAATTTGTCCAATCTGTGACACATAAGACACTAAAAATTATTTCATCATATAAGCATATCCTCAACAACAAGACTAAACTTGATAGATTGTAGTGACAGTGAAAGGCAGAGAGCAGATACTTACTTCCAATCTGTTGTAACATTCACTAATGAATTTCTTGTGCAGGGCAACTGGTTCCTGTAACATAGAGCAGCAATGTCAAAACTCATAGATGTTACCAACTGGATTTAACAGCTCAATAGCTTTGTTATCTAGGGAGTAATTTAATTATTTGACAAACCATTGATTCCCCACAAGACAACTACGTTCTTCCATTGACAGTAGAACCCTCTCAATCCCAAGAACTAAAACTAAGACCATCGGTGAACGCTCCTTCTGCTTCCATGGGCCCACGTTCTGGAACCAGCTCCCCTTCCATATACGTCATAGTGAAACCTCGTCCATTTTCAAAAAGTCCCTTAAAACTCATCTGTTTAGGTCCGCCTATGACCTGTGATGCACCCTCCTTGCCCTACCTCATTTTCTGTTTCGGGTTGATCCTGAAGTGTCAAAGTGTCCTCGTTTTATAGCCATTTTCATTGTTTCTATAGAATAGTAGTTACTATCCTAGTGTCTCATTTGTATTTACTTAGTTTACATGTTTTAATAATTGTAAAGCGCTTAGAGCTTTATGATAAGCGCTATATAAAAATGCCTAAATAAATAAATATAGCAAGTGTCTCTTAATTAAAGTAACAGCGTCTTCTTTCATCCCTTTCTCACTCTATAACTCTATTTCCAATACTCCAACCCCAACCACTCCATTACTGCCGCTCAAACATAACATTCGACGTCAAATCCCCTACTCAAAATAATTCACAAAATACAAAGCATATTGCAATAGCTACACACATACTCAAAACATGCACCCACAAAACCACTAACAAATCATGAACAGTATATTTTAAAGGAGAAAGAGAAAAAAAACAGATTAACTGTTTAGGTTATTTCTAGATAAAGCCTGCAGTATAAGGTTGCTATGATAGTTGCACATCATGACCTTTTTAAGTTTAGAATTTAGGTTTGTATAGCTGAGAGCGAGCAACATCTGAATGGCCTGCTCGGCTATGGCCTCATCAGGTACATGGAGGCAGATCTCCCAGAGATAATCCAGGCCAATGAGCTCCGTCTTCTCCACCACCATGGCCACGTTGCTGTGCTTCAAGCGGTGTTCGTACTGGTTGACTCGCTCAAAGAAACACTTGAAGCACATGAAACCTAGAGATGAACATGGCTGCATTTTATATGACAATGAATGTGATGGCATTTTATATGACATCTGAGCTTGAAACAATTTCTAACATACTAACACACAAGAGGAGAGTTCAGAACTAAACATTATGATAGAAAAAAATAAATAATTAATTTTGGCATTGAATTGCATAAATATATTTTTTTAGGATAGATTCCAATAGATGATTCCTTTTGTTTCATAATTCAATTTCATTGACTTACATGACTAAATTATAAAAACATATTCAGTTGGTTTTTTAAAATCTCAGTCTGAAAGCCAACTATTTGAATGATACATTGAGATGAAAGATACTATATTGTGCTGAAAAATAACCTTGCTTGAAATATGCAATTTCGATGAAGCATTTCAAAAAAAAAAAGTGCTAATGTATTAACAGCAGTTGAACAACGTAAAAACAAATCTAATCATAAAAGAGAAAGTTCTTCTCACCGTTCTCACTCAACTTGGCTGGATCAATGCTAAGAATCATTTTCTGGAACATTTGGTTCTGTGTGTCAATGTCAAGGTCAGTGATCCCAAGGCGAAACCATTCGTAACACGTCTGAGAGGAATCAGACATAAAAATGGGATCAGTCATAAATGGCATCAAAACATCAGTCATAAATGGAATTCAAATATAAATTAGGGGCCATCCATATATTAAATATGCATACAATTTTGCATTATCCCCACCTCCTTGCATTTGAGGGACCCCCCCCCCCCAGCGTTTATACAAATCCCCCAACCCCTTTCAGTGCTCGGTTTGCATCTGTTTAATGAGGCTTTGATCTAAAGGCCGACTGAATTTCAGTTTCAGTGCCAAAATGTGCCCTATAATCCCTTTCAGAGCAGTTTCGCCCGAAACGGAACATATAACTTTCTGTTAATTTTCAGTTTCTGCTGAGAGTGAATGAGGCTTTCAGCCTTATACCAGTAGTCGGGCTGTCACTCTGTCTACCAGCAATCCAATATTTATTATTGCTCGACGTCTTGCTGAAATCATATGTTATTTGACTACTCCTCTGTGCACATTGGTCACAGCTGCATGATGACATACTTGTCCAATATTTCCAAAAATAAAATTACAATTACGCTTAGGCAATGGTAAATAGTTTTCTAGAAAAAAAAAGCTAAGGGAATGGTAATATCTATATTATTATTTTGGTTTTAATTTTTTTGAAAATTTTTTTCAAAATTAAATTGGGAAACCCTATATTTATTCAATACATTCATTTCTGACATTCATTTTGATTTATCATTATCATGCCCATAAATGTTGCCAAAGGCAAAGATGAATAGAGTTGTGGGAAAAAAAAATCCATTATATTATATTATAAGATTTTAAAAAATAAAAATTAGCGAGCCTTAGGCTTTTCAATTCATTCATTGAAATCCACAAATATGATAATGAAATAAAATGTTAAAATATCCCATAAAATTATCACGTGTATGGACACAAATTTAAAGACATGGAATAATGAAACCTTTAGTAATTAAAAAAAAAAAATTATTATTTATTTCAATTTTGTATAATTCGGCATTAAATAGCCTTTTATTTAAATCATAAGACTACACATCTGTATCACTGTTTCCTATAATACTTATGTAGTAGGCCTACTGTTTTATCATACTAACACAGCTCAACATTCGTTTAACTTTAATCTGGGTCAAATTTAAAATTAGCAGATCAATGATGATTGTGGATAAATGAAAATTTAAATGTCAACTAGTAAGAACATGGGTTTTAACTAAAATGTATGGGTTAGCGGACCAAAAAGTGCCTTCAAGCCACATGTCTGGAAATTTTACTGGGCCATACTATTAAACAATAGATAGGCTAAGCTTTCCACGATCTGTACCAAATATGTCTAAGTAACGTAATCATATTATATAAGCAAAGGGCACCCAATGGTCTATTTTGGATGAATTCACGCCCCACACCCATTAAAATTTTCACTTACCATACTACTTTAAAATACATTTTCAACAACTTTAAATTACTTTTTAATATGGATGGTAAAATCCAAAGTATTCATTTGACGTTTAACTATTAAAATTTATGAGAATGATATTATTTATAAAAATTATGTAACTATCTAATACTTTCCCATAATTTTTCGGCTTGTGGAAAATGTATGCTCTGAAAAGTTTGGAAATATCTAAATTTGTTGGTTTCGTCTGAAAGGGTCAATAAGCTCTTGGTTTTGGCAGAAGTTAATTATTAACTTTCGGTCTGGTTTCTGGTTCGGCCAAAACCACAAAAATCAAATTTTTGGGGTCACTACTTCACAACATGCCAGTTTCAATCAGGGATCGCACTTGCTTTGGCCGGGCATGTTGCATTGGAGCATTCGTGCTGTTTCTCATACAGCCCAGCCGTTGACCTACTTTTCGCAAAAGTGGTATTTGAGCCAAGCTTTGACTCCTGAGTCACTGGCTGGTCAAGTTGGTGCTGGGCTGCACAATATCGCGCAAGGATATCTGCTCTCTCGTTTTAAGTCACCTCCACCTTATGTCAATTAATATATTCATCAAGTGCAAAATAGTAACTTTCTTAGACTTAATGTTACTGGATGTATTAACTGTAACTTCCTCATGACTCAGTGTTACTGGATGTATTAAAAAAACATCAATGGAACCATCAGTAGATTTAATATATATTTTAGCTCATCCTAGTGATTGATCAATGCATCCAGTCTATGTCAAGTTTATTTACACACCTCTCTATCCCATTCACAAGCTTTCTGATTAGCCCCCAGAGTAGTCCAGATGTCTCTGGCACGGTTCCAGACCAAGTACAGGTCTCCAGCTTGAAGAACATAACGCAGGAAACTCAGATGGGTTGAAATGTACTGGAAAAGAGTTTTTAGCATCACCCAAATAGTATAGAAACAATAATGCCCCATGATAAACTATTACCACTCTATCATGTACCTTAATAATTAACTATAACTACTCTGTCATGAACTTATGTCATCATAATTAACTATAACCACTCTGTCATGAACTTATGTCATCATAATTAACTATAACCACTCTGTCATGAACTTATGTCATCATAATTAACTATAACTACTCTGTCATGAACTTATGTCATCATAATTAACTATAACCACTCTGTCATGTACCTTAATAATTAACTATAACTACTCTGTCATGAACTTATGTCATCATAATTAACTATAACCACTCTGTCATGTACCTTAATAATTAACTATAACCACTCTGTCATGTACCTTATGTCAACACAATAAACTGTAACCACTCTGTCATGAACCTATGCCAACATAATAAACTATAACCACTCTGTCATGACCCTAAGCCTGGTTATAGTTTATTATGTTCTCTGTCATGAACCCAAGCGTTATTTTGTTTCACTATATTGTGTAGAGTGTTCAAAAATAAATTTGATGAAAATTTGATCGTGTGAACTGAAAAAAAAATTCAACCAAACTTCCGTTCGACCAAATTTCGGTAGATCAATTTTCCATCGACTAAATTTCTTTCAAACAAATTTCCGGTAATCATAATAAACTATAATTTTTCTGTCATGAACCTCTGCCAACATAATAAACTATAGCCACTCAGCCAACATACTAATTAAAGGAAAGAAAAAACATTTACTGCAGATGTTAAAAAAAAATATTTAAATATTCACGACATTATCCATAAAGAAATAAGTTCATGATGCTACTTCAGCTATTTAAATAAATGTTATCAAGGTTTCTTTTCTACCTGATGTGCCACATACGGTTTCTAGAGGTAATATTTTATAATTGATTCTTGTTTAAAAATTACTTTGAGCCTAGAATTAAGTTTAGAAATATGCTAAACAATGCCATTTATCTTAAGAGTTAAGTTTAGAAATATGCTAAACAATGCCATGTATCTAAGACTAGGACTTGCACAGTTATATATCATAACCCTCTTTGTATCAGAGTCCTAGTCTGAGACAGAGAAAATTAATTGGACAAATATTCACTATTCTTACATCAGAATGTGGATATCTTCCGTCCACCATGGTTGTTGGTTTCAGCTGGCCATCTCCAACCTGGGACGCGGCAAGCTTGTGACATTTGACCAGACTGTTGGTGACCAACTTGATGACATCGCTGCCTTTATTCAACTCACTGATGACACTCTGTGGATGTTGGTACAAATAGAAATTAAATCAATCTTTAAATTTGGTTTAAATTAAATTGTAAAAAATGTAATTCGTTATGTGTTTAATAGTGATATTATTAATCGTGTATGATGGTGATATGATTAACAGTATAAATCATGATTTAATTCGGACCGATAAAAATTCATGATTCAAATTTTTTAAAATTATTTTAATTATATTTATTTAAAGGCTCTGACTAAAAAATAACATCTTTTTGTTTTTATTAATTATTAGTCTCACTATATGTAATTTCTTAATACATAATTATGATTGCAAAATTTTATAACAATTATTTTAATTTCACTTTTAAGTGTTTGGAAATTAGAAATAGACTTCTGGTTGAGACAGCTGGAAAATTAGTTATTTTATTCAAAAATTTTTTAATCAGGAATCTTTGGTGAAGAATATTAATTTATCATAATGTAGTTAATTTTATTTAAATCAATTTGCTGGATTTAAACCCTCTTGATACTTATTAGACTGTCTGTGCTAAGAAGAGGAAGCCCTTTTCACAAGCCCTACGCTCACTTTGCAAAAACATATATACAAAATAAAATTATCGCTTTACAAATATAAAACCGTATATATTCTTGTAGGGAATGAAATGAACTAATATGAATCATACTGAAGTCTCAACATTTATGCAAATTAGAAATCCTTATTTGCATAATTTATTGTTTTTACACTTAGAATAAACTACTTTACTATAGTCTCTATCTATTGTGGAATTGAGTGACATTGACTGATGACAATATTATGGCATTTATTTGTAATGATATTGATAATTTGAAAGTATTAAAAATTTAATTGAAATTCTAATTCATATATGATATGGCGGTATTATTGACTCGAACAAAGGTGATATTATTGACTGTGTACAAAGGTGATATTATTGACTGTGTCCAAAGGTGATATTATTGACTGTGTATGACGGGAAATATTTTGTTAATGCCCTAAAGCAGATTGAATAAGTGAGGCCGAAGTCTATGATATTACCTTGTAATCCCAGTCTATGACATTACCTTGTTATCTCAGTCCATGACATTACATTGTTATCTCATTCTATGACTTACCTTGTTATCCCAGTCTGTGACATTACCTTGTTATCTCAGTCTATGACATTACATTGTAATCTAAGTCTATGACTAACCTTGTTATCTGTTTTCTGCACAGTATTCTTAATAATGTTCTTGCTTATAGACATCAGCTGTCTTAGCGCTGGCAAGACACAGGCACACTGCATTCAAATAAAAATTAACATTCACAGAAATAGATGTAACTGTCAGTTTAACTAAATATAACCGTCAATTTATTGATATTAAATAAAATTTTAGAAAAAGTAAATACAAATGATATTTTATAACAATAAATATAACCTTTAAATCAATAGAAATAAATACAACTGACTATAATATAATAGATATTAAATGAAATGTTACTGAAATTTTAATAAACTAACTATAAAATGACAGTAAAATTGCCTGGGGATAGATTAAAACAAATCTACATAATAATTTGTTCAAGGGATTAACATGATTAAGTCTGTTCCCATATTTGACAGTACTTTCAGATGTGGAACTCACCTTCTTGATGTCCTCCACACATTTGGTGACATACTGCAGCTTGACCTGTTCCTTCACTGTGTAGGAATCTGACAATATGGCATGGTGTTCATCAAGGGCTTGTTCCACCAGGGATGTGCTCAGAGCTGGAAGGTGGGCCAGGTCCCACAGCAGCTCAAGAACCTGAGGTTTTAACATATAGTAATTTCAATATCAATTTTTGTTTTTTTTCGTTTATGGAAAATTTGTTAAAAATATGACTTATTATTGACTTTTCCATTAGTGTTAGGACAGAAATGTTTATTTGAAATAAATCAATTTACATTGATCCATTTTTTGGTCGATATGATTTAGTGGGGCCACACTTACCACAGTGGTTAACATTACCTTTAAACACGGACCATGCCTACCATCATGGTTAACATTACCTTTAAAAATGGGTCACACTTACCCTGGTGGTTGTCTTCGCCACCTTCGCATCTTTCCCAATCTTGCCAATGAGACTGAGAAGTTTCTCTCTGGTCTTGTCACTGTCATCTTGCCATTTCTGGACAACATTAAGTTTTTAATTATACATAGCAGATTGAACAGAAGACATTGAGTAGTGAATTGAATGTCATTCACCATCCTGGGATGTTAACTCTAGTTGAGTGATGTAAGTTAAGAATCTATTCAAATTAACACAAGTGAAATGTGTCTCTAAATTCAACATTAACACAACTGAAATGTGTCTCTAGATTCAACATTAATACAAGTGAAATGTGTCCCTAAATTCAACATTAACTCTCTGCAGTCCGACTATAGAGAAATGGTACTTATATGTACCATAGATTTTGTGGGTGGGTTATTTATTTTTTAATTTTAATTTTTAATTAAAAAAAATTATATATTATATTTTAATAATTTGTGTCATTGGTTTAAGTATTTGTAAAAATATTAAAATTATTACAAAATTTGAAATTACTATTAAAAAAAAATATTTTTGGAAACTTAGTCAGCGCGGAGTATCCATTGAAAGCTTCGCCGATTTCCAAAAAAACAAAATAATATTAGTGTCACAAAAAAAATAATTACTGGTATTAATATGGTCAAATGATTTTAATTTCCCGATTTATCACGGAATTATTTGTTTTTCTAATGTAATGTATCCAAATGGAGACTCTAATCATGAAATTTATCCCGATTTGTATATAAAAGTACCGACTAATGCTATCGTAAACAAGTAAGTTTAGTTTTAATTATCATTTCCCGACTATAAAATTAATAATAAAATAATAAAGTGATATTTTTATAATTTTAATCGGCTGAATTATATAATATTCATTTATACTTATATTGATATATTCTATTTGAATTTTTTGAGTTTCAATAATTTTATAATAAATAAAAAGCGTGGCTATGCGAAATAAATATTTTCTAAAAATAGCGGGAAAACTCCGGCCGATAAGAACTTGCGTACTTAAAATGAAATTAAAGTTAAGGACATCTGAGTTATTAACTAAATATATTTCTTTAAAATATGTTATAGCCAAGAATAATCTTCTACATTTTCTAATATTACATAATAGAAATGTTTTTAAATTTAATTATCATTATCGCTAGTCACTAGTATTAGTAGAGACTACTGTCGGCAGAATAAAAAACAAAACATTTATGTTTTTATTAAAAGCTTCTTAACTCTAATGGGAAGGAGGAGAGAGAGATAAAAATGCAGATATTGGATCAAGAAGCCCTTATTCCTTATTGATCCTAAATATTAAGCCTGGACTCCACCCTTTTACTGAGTTACAGAGTTACTGGATGAATAGCTTTAAAGATTTTACCCTAAAAATTAGTGGTGGTAAGTTTTAATCCAATCACTTGGTAGCAAAATGCATAAAGAATAAACTCACAATATTGTTATAACATATGTTATAATGTATTTTCTATGTACAATGGTTTACTTTTATACTAATTTAGGCAATGGACTCCACCCTTTTACTGAGTTACAGAGTTACTGGATGAATAGCTTTAAAGATTTTACCCTAAAAATTAGTGGTGGTAAGTTTTAATCCAATCACTTGGTAGCAAAATGCATAAAGAATAAACTCACAATATTGTTATAACATATGTTATAATGTATTTTCTATGTACAATGGTTTACTTTTATACTAATTTAGGCATTTGGACTAGGATTAATGGTATTTTCCCTTACTGATAGCATACTATTACTGATACCATTAGTGTTAATTTAATTATGAATCAATCAATTTTTTTTTTTCACAGGTTCTTTATTGAGTGAATATTCTGTGTTGAAAAATCTTACCTAATCTTATGATGAAATCAAGTCCAGGACAAGCTCTTATTTATCAAATATAATTATTATAATAAAACTGCAGATTGTTTTAAGAAATAATATTTGTTCAGAGTCCATAAATATTATTAAGGAATACTGTAGTTTATCGTCCTGTGTTATGTGAGTATTATAACAAAGATATGTAAAAATACCAGTACATGGGAAAAAGTATATCACATTAGTGAGGAATGGATCGTATTTGACATTAATATCAAAATTAGCATTAATGTACTGAAACATTACAATTTTTTTTAACTTTGACATCAGGGAATACCACTATTTTAAAATTAAAAACAAAAACAACATTGACTCTTGTTTTGAGTTATTTATATAATCATCAAATTTTCCTTAGTTATCTTTTACTCAAGAATTATTAAGAAATATATTGAATATACAAATCTATAATTTTTTCCTTCATACTGTGTGAAAATTTTGTCAAAACTTTGCATAAAATGAAAAAAATTAATTCTCCAATAATGTTTCAATTATTTTTATAACTAAGAAAATAAAATATACAAAAAATATCTAATGATAGCTGAGTCACAGATGAACAAGTTAATATATTTAACTGATCAGATCAGAGCTATTTCAGATCAGTTAATTAATTATTTTAAAAAATCACCTTAAGATTTTTAAGAAATGTGAAAAAAACGTCAGACTGCAGAGAGTTAACATAAGTGAAATGCGTCTCTAAATTCAAAATTACAATCATTGTATTAAATATTCAGTATTCCAGATTTTATAACATATTACAATATTTCCCCACACATTTAAGCTGATCACATCCAACTTGATCATATTGCAGTTGATCACAAGTTAGTTGATCACATCCAAGTTGATCACAAGTTAGTTGATCACATCCAAGTTGATCACATCCAAGTTGATCACATCTAAGCTGATCACATCCAAGTTGATCACATCCAAGTTGATAACATCTTATCTGATCACATCTAATTGAACAAGTTTACCACCAACCTTCTGAATAAGCAGGAAGAGATGCTCTAACTGGTTCGATTCAAATTTAACTGCTGCCGCCGCTATGATGGAGTGAATGTTGTCTATGACATTGTTGGTCTGTCCATTCTAAATTGAATAAAAAAATTAATTGCAATTAACAGTTTATTAATACGATAACAAAAATTATTTAAAATTCTGCTTGTAAATATTTTTAAGTTTAAGTGAAGAGTTTATTTGAAGCAAATCTTGAAGAACACTGATGACATGGCTGTAATGACCTGGGTGTAACAATATGGGTGTATAGTGTCATCATAGAAATATTCCTTGGTCTGTAATCTGATCAAACTAAATCAAATAAGAATGCAACCATTTACCTGCATCTTCCAAATCATTGACAGTTCATCCAAAGAAAGTTTGGCCCCAAGAAACTCAACTATGCCTTTGATTTTGTCACAGTACTGAGCTTGGTCAATGTTGCCTGTGGGTAAAGGGAAGTAATAAAACACAGTATTAAGCTTGGTCAATGTTGCATGTGTGTAAGGGAAAGTAAGAGAAATAATAATAAAACACAGTACTGAGCTTGTTCAATGTTGCCTGTGTGTAAGGGAAAGTAAGAGAACTAATAATAAAACAAAGTAACGAGCTTGGTCAATTTTGCCTGGTTCAAAGGAAAATAAGACAATACTAAAACACTATGAAACTTTATTCTTTAAGTCACTCAAATAATAAAACATAACAAGATTATAAGATTATTTATAAAACACTATGAAATTTACTTCAAATTAGTCAAACAAATAAGAAGATTACACCCCTGTCCCACCATGACACCACAGTACATACCTTATATTACATTCTAATCTATAACCCCATGCTTACCCTTCAAGAGACACTCACATTACACCACACCACAATACATCTTATATTAGACTCTAATCTATGGCACTATGGTTCACCTTCAAGAGCAATTGATAAAATCTTATTTTCCACCAGCCAATCGAGAATTTTCTCCTCTGAAATAATAGCAGCAGATTTGCCTTGTCTTGTACCACTGAGTTCATCTATTAACTTTGTCACCTGTGGGTAATGAAACCATAGAATGTATAAAAATTGCATTATAATTCAGGTTGATTTTTCTGTTACCATCGGTCGTTGCCATTAATGAATATGAGGTCTGGGTGGCGGTCAAAACCCTTGCAGATGATTTTAGCTATGGGGCCATAGGCGACCATTTTGTGTCCCCCGCTTACGCCCCGACCGGAAAACTCCATGGGCGGTGGGGGGATGTAACACAACACCTTTCCCCTGGAGAGGAAGTAAAGCCGTTCAGACCCAAGGAGAGTGGACCGCGAACGCTTAAAACGCAGCGTTTTCAGTCGACCGGATGTCCCACAGGCCAGGGGGGGAGGTTCCCGATGTGCTTCCGGGGAGACCGGGCGTAGGGCAGGGGGGGTGGGGGGTTAAGAGCTTATGCTCGACGACCCACCGCCGCCATCTCCAATGTGATGTTACCATCAGTCAAATTGACTACACTGAGATTTCCCAACAACACTCTGTAAACCAGCTTTCATGAAAGAAAATGACAACATTTACATTTCACAACATTCTTGAAGGCAGCTATCACAAAAGAAAATTATATACAAAGTAACCTGTAATCAAACCTAATTCTAATAAATGTATAGTGTATTTTTTTTGCTCCCTTTTAAACCTGTCCATTATATAGAACATACAAACCTTTCACTTATACTAAACCTGTCCCATATAAATAACCTACAAGCCTTTCACGTATACTAAGCCTGTCCATTATATAGAACATACAAGTCTTTCTTTTATACTAAACCTGTCCCTTATAAAGAACATACAAGCCTTTCTCTTATATTAAACCTGTCCATTATATAGAACAAACAAGCCTTTCACTTATACACTAAACCTGTACATTATATAGAACATATGTATAGTTTACTTTTTTTGCTCCCTTTTAAACCTGTCCATTATATAGAACACATGAAGCTTTCACTTATACTAAACCTGTCCCTTATATATAACATACAAGCATTTCACTTATACTAAACCTTTCCCTATAAAGAACATACAAGCCTTTCACTCATATCAAACCTGTCCAATATATAGAACATACAAGCCTTTCACTTATACTAAACCTGTCCATTATATAGAACATACAAGCCTTTCACTTATACTAAACCTGTCCCTTATAAAGAACATACAAGACTTTCACTTGTACATTGACAAATTGGAAGGGTAACTGTAATCTATTCCTCTTTGCCTCTAGAGAGATCTTGGGAGGGTGAGTAAAAGTCAATCCATTTTTATCAATACGGGGCAGTACTCCTTGGTACTCTCCCTTGTACTGAGGTTGCTCTAGTTGATGATTGTCCCAGGGGATCTGTGTGTTGGCTTAACCCACACCATCACACTTTCAGGAAAAGCCCCTAAGTAATATACCCACCCCCCCTCCCTCAAACTATGACAGTGACTCAATGATCCCCAAGAAATAACATGAATCATTCATTTTGCCATTATGATTTCCTAAAGAGAATACAAATTCTAAAACTAGACTAGCAACTTCTAAATATTTTGAAAGATTATTTCATAGAATAGAATTACAATAACACACATTCATTTGAAACTGATTTAAACTAATGACAAATTTATGGCTCCTCTCAAAAAACAGATTTGAGAACAAATTTTTTTTCAAACACACCTCTTTGAGAGCATTCATTTTAGCATTAAAATGAGGTGACTTCAGCATTCTTAGTGTAACGGTCAGACGTAGATCATCCAGTTTATCCACATCCAGAGGCCACATCTGCAGGCACAGCAACTTCATTGAACTCAACAGATCTGAAACACTGCCGATTTTCTGGAGATAACCCATGGGAATTAAGAAATAAGTTGAATAGATTAATCTAACTAATTATTGTTGAGGATTTTCAAAAAGATTTCATTAGGTAAAAAAAAATGTAAGTATTTTAAAATACTATTTTTTTGTTCTGAAGGATAAAATTCTTAAATAATTACAACAACTATTCTAACTTGACAGTTTTGTCAAGATTTTTTAGATGGTTGTTGTTTAGTTCATTCTGAACAAGACTTATTATTTTACCTGGCATTTGTTTTATATAGATTTCATTTTATTTGTTTCGTGTTATGTGATATATAAATAAAAGTAACCCCTTTGTTACTCTGTCACTTAATTTGTCTTATTTATACTTATCAATAGTGTATTTAAATTAGTCTCTTTGTTGATGGATACCAATTGCACTTCTGGTAAATAAAACTTCTATCCTCGACATGTGCCAAAATTATTTTTCAGTTTATTTTAACATTCAACCTAAAAAAACGTCATTCCTTGCAAGGGTTTATAAAGTGTGAAATAACTTTTAGAAAAATCTTGGTTAACATAATCTTTTAACACAAACCATTTTTGGATAAGCCCCCCATGGGAAATAATACGAGAAGAATCTTGACAAACCTTTTCTTTGAAATCTTTTTCTTCTAGGGCCTGTATTGTTTTAACAGCTTTCTCCATGCCTGGTCGTAACATTGCTTTCATCACAGTTGGACTTAAGAACTCAGCACATGCCCCAAATGGCCGTAACAACAATGACATGTTCTGTCAAGATTTAAAAAAAAAAAATAACTTCTTAACTTTTATGCTGTGCATTTCAATCTTTAAATTTTTCTACAGTCAATGGTAATTATTCAACAGAGTGAAATTCAATGCCTAAAACAATGTGAACTCAAATTTGACTCACCAAAATATCAACATCTTCTAAATCTAAGTGCTTTTTGACCAGATCAAAGCCATCTTGAAATGCAAACTAAACAAAGAAATAAAATCATAATTGATTGAATTAATATTTCATGCTCTGATAAATAAACAGTCAATGGTAATATGGAACTTTTCTTCTGGGGTCTTTTTATGTTATGTACACTAAAAAGTTCAATGGGTCAGTATACATATTTAAACAAGTACATCATTCATTCATTACAGCTTTTCAAATGAGTTCATTCACTATGAAAATCTACACTCATTCATTACAGTTATTCACATAAGTGTTCATTCACCGAGGAGACCTACAAAGTGGAAATTCTCTATAAACTAAGCTTTTTCATTAAAAAAAAATGCATCTACAAATCTGGAGCACTAGAAATGTATTTAAAGAGTTATACTTTTTAACATTGGAAATTTATCATTAGAGCTATGCTTTGTAGAATATTACATCATTTAATTTACGAAATAGTTGAACAATATTTGAAAAGCCTTGAAATATAAAGACAGGACAATTAAAAGAATGTCTTGCCTGGATGCTTTCTTAGGTAGACAAGACAAGTAACAACAAAGAATAAGAAATTGAGGAGTTTTATCATTCTGAAAATTGTATAATTTAAAAAAAAATTTGTTACGGTAAAATTTATACTACAATTTTAACAATTTTGTTAATTAAAAAGGGAACAAGCTACCATGACTTACTGTGTTGATTAGATTGGTCAACCAGCCGTATGGAGTCTGCGGTGATCAACATAAATATACATTATTAGCAAAAATAGGTGGAATACAATTTTTATGACAATATAATTTCATTTAAGTAAATTGTTTTAGTAAATGCTTTGTTGCTTTAAGACTTAAGAAATATAAAATATATTTCAAAATAAATGAAACAATATAATAATAACATGTGATGGCAGCATTTATTTTTGTTTGTAAGAATTGCTTCTCAAGTCAACCTACGTTATTATTCTTGTGGGCACTTGATGAAATGGTAGCTGGTGGTTCAGTGCCCCCAAACCTCTCCTCCCATGTTATTCTACTGTCTCTCTTGTTTTGGTTTTTCACTTGAAATTCAGTATCTGGGCTAAAGGCCTGAGGGAAAACATTTTGATATATACACGAATTGGAATTCAGTATCATGGCTAAAGGCCTGAGTGAACACATAAAGATATACTCACTAATTGAAAATTCAGTTTATGGGCTAAAGGCCTGAGAGAAAACATTTTGATATATACACGAATTGGAATTCAGTATCATGGCTAAAGGCCTGAGTGAACACATAAAGATATACTCACTAATTGAAAATTCAGTTTATGGGCTAAAGGCCTGAGAAAAAAAACTGTATGAGAAAAAGTATGAAAGTTCCTTAAAATTGATTTCCAAAACATGCATCCACAATTGATGTTTCTCAAGTTTACCCCAACCTTGATTAACACATTTCCATCTATAAATATTACCCCACAATTTCAAATGCTCATTGAAAAATCTTAGCAGCCTCAACTGTTTTTTTAAATTATAATCAATAAAGAATAATTAATTCCAATGTAACAAAAAAGATGGAATAGCCAAAGTTCTTACCAATTTTAGACAGTCCATGAGAATAGGATGAACAGTAGGTTGTTTCAGGGAAGCTACAACCAATTCTATTAGCAACCCAAGCATGTTAAAGATGCCTTCTTGGATCTCTATACCCCACTTGTGAACAGCATTGGATGTTAAAAGCTGAAAAGAAAATAAACCGTTGTGACAAAACTAATTTTTCTTTTTAAACAGATGAACTTTTCATATTTTCATCCAGTAACTACCATTTAAAAAATAAATAAATTTATATATAGCGACATTTATTAAAATAAAGTATCTCTAACAAATTAAAAAAACAACAGGTGAAAAGTTAAAAAATCAGATCCCTAAAATGGATAATTGTGTGCCAAAACTATGAAATTAAAATTCCTGTATGTTTAATCAGGAAGTGTGTCCGTTGGGATTTTTTTTTTTATTGCTGTGGGGTTTCGTAGGGTCGTAGGTTCAGTGTGCACATTACCTTGTTGAAAGCTTCAGGCATGCAGCGGTCAATGAAGCGTTTACAATGCTCATCACTCTCAGCTAAACCTTTAGAGAATAGAGTAGTAGTCTGCTTTTACTTATGTTAAAAAATATATTACATTAAAAAATTAATGGTTTCCTGCTAGAGTGCAGACATTGTCTATTGATATTGATAATGAACAAATATAAAAAACAGAATCCCCAGCAAATTCTTAAGATGATCACATAGGATAAATAATAAATATATAGGACTATATAAACTTATAGGGATATTAGGATTATATAAACTCATAGAAGTAAATAAACTGAATCATGCCTGTGACATTAGAAACATTGATGAAAGAGAGAAATGATTTGTTTTGATAAAGTGACATTCTTAGTAAACAATGGGTTAACACAGAAGTTCCAAAACTGTATTCCACAGTACCCTGCGCAGCCATGACTTCCTCACAGGGGCACCATGAAGTGTTTACAAATCTAGCAGACTTGCTGCAAGCCAGAAACTCTTGTTTTAATACAGTTTTATGTAATCTTTACTAACTTTATACAAATGTCAATTTATAATAAGTGTCCATTTAACAAGGTAACATTTTCAAAAGATTAAAAAGAGTTCTGTTTTGTTTACCAGCTTCCATAAGTCGCGTTGAAGCAATAAGACATTTCCCTAATGATTCTTCTTTTTTAAAGGGAATATTCCACATCTCTGTGAACACACGTCCCTCCAATTCATAGAGGTTAGTGACAGGAAATTCCATGTTGCTTGCTTCATCCATAGCTGCTGCTTCACAAGTAAGCTGATCAGTCTACCAAGTACAAAATATTTATTTATTACTTTATACACATTAAAATGTAAAAACAAATTATTATGAACTTTGTTTTACTAAATACTGTTATGAAATTTTTTCTCATCACAAAATCCATCCAGCCTATGTTTCTTAGAAAATATTATAAGTTTGGTAATTTCCATTTTCCAATTTGCCAGGATGCCTAACGCATGATTTCATGCCACATCATTTTAATTAGTAAATAGTAAGAGATTCATGATAGCCCAGGGGTCTCAAACTCGCGGCCCCCGGGCCATTTGGGGCCCACAAGAAGATATTTTGTTGCCCGCCACATGACAGCAAATTTTAGTGTAATGCGGCCCGCGAGTTTTCCCTGTTCTCATGTCTATAATGTGATCCCCGTGACAGTTTTGGTCGAATCTCACGACTAGTCTAATTCTGATTTTTATTATGTTTGCATAGATTTGGACGTTGATTATAATGGTAAAAACTGTTTCAAAACCGGACTAAAAGTTTTTATTTTATAGCATTTTATGAAATAAACATGGCCAAAGTGTGGTTTTCAGAAACATTTTAAAAGTCAGTTAGTGGGTAATGCACAACCATAATTGTGTAAATCGTAGCCACAGCATCAAAGAATCCCTATTAAAAGTGCCCCTACTGTCAACGAGTGAGGGAAATTTCAAGCATGACAGCTTGGTTCCACTTCAAAATAGGTTTAGTCAAAAAAGGCCCCTTTTCTGCGATAAAAAAAATAAAAATTCATTCTCCCTACAATAGCATCTGCCTTCACATCAATATTTCATAAATATTGCCTGCTCCTGCCTAATGTTTGAACACGTTTTAGCCTTCAAAGCCTTCATGGAGAAGGATGGGGTGGTTGTTCCTGTACTACGTGAACCAAATTGCTTATCAGGGGTGGCTTGTCAGTGTTGCCTATGACAATGTCGCGCAATCTGCACGGACTTGTGTTATGGTTCTTTGAGAAACCTCTGCCATTTCCCAAAATGAAAAGTACTCATGGATTTAGAGACATCATTCAGTAGTGAGTATACTGATGCCATTGCAAAGCTACAGGAAGGATATGATCGCATGTTTTTAGATTTCAAAACACACAGTGCCACTTTTCAAATTTTTTTAACACCCCCCCACATAACTTGCGTTTTAAATGGAGCGGATTGATCTTCAGTGCAATTCTAAGTTAAGGGAGTGAATGGAGAAACAGACAAGCATGGACAATTTATGAGAGCGTTGCACTCCACCTTCACTAAGATTTCCAGGTTGCTCAAGCGGATCATGTGCTTTTTTGGGAGTACCCATCTGTATGAAAAGCTCTTTTCCAACTATGAAATTTAACAAGTCAAAGTTCAGGGCGAAATTACTGATGAGCATCTTCAAGCTATACTGAGGGTCTCAGTGGCTTCTTCACTCTAGCCAAATGTTGCTCAGTTGTGTAAGAAGAAACTCTGCCAGGTCTCTGGCAACTAGGAGTAGGGGGAAGAAAGTGAAGCCTAGGTCTTGAGAACCCTTAATGTTTTATTTTGTTATTAATAAAGGTTGAGCAGACTGCACCAGTTGTACTTTATTGAATTTGATATCATTTTTTTTTTTTCTTGATGCGGCCCAGTCTCACTCAGACTCTACCTCTTGCGGCCCCCGGATGATTTGAGTTTGAGACCCCTGTGTTAGCTGGATCTTTATTAGAAGAGTTGTCTTTCCCTTACAGCTCAAGAGGTCCATTTTTGGTACACCCTCATTTGTAATATAAGGGTTGTGTGCCCATTTTCTCATCCAGCACAGTTTCTTTACAAAATAGACAGAGATGGGGAGACAAAGTAACAAATTAAAGACAATGTTTAGGGCTCTAATATTAAATAACTAGACTTTATGTGCAATTATGTCTCTTATTTTTTCTGTCATTTTCCAAGTTATCTTGATATGACTCAAATAGCACAAACTAACATGTTATATGTTACATGTGTTCTCCTGTTTACCATGGTCTTATATTTTACACAATGACTAGGCCTAATTGAATACATTAATTTTTATTACATTTAATTACTTGTGCATGATTAGATTAATAATGAATATACAAGTAACATCCAGATGAAGAATGCAAAGATTTCACATGCAATTTAAATAACTGCCTACATTAGAGTGCATTTATAAATATAAGTATTCAGCAAATTAGCTGGTAGAGGAGTGTAAGTTGTGGCAGCTTTCCCTAGGACCATTTCTGGTAACATGGGGCCTATTCCAAAAGATTAAAAGATCTGTATTATTATTTTAATGGTGCATTCATGTCAAATTTTCCCTTTGATATGTAATAAATGATTAAATATAATGCCTACCAGAATCAAGTTCTCGCTTTATCCTGGTAGCTATAAATTTGTGAAATGTGAGTTTTAACAGTTTTTTTTTTTACAATAAGCAATGTCTCATTATGTCTCCAGATTTTTTCAACTAGTATTGCTGTTACTGGGTATCCATAAAATAACATCCGCATAACTTAACTGTAAGTCGCAGCATAACCTGTTTCTTAATTTTCCATGTCAGCTGTCTTATTTACATTAGTGTCAGTAGGCCTAATAATTGATATTAATAATATTTTTTTTTCAATTACTTTTTATATTGATTAGATACCAGATACAGCTAGCAAAGATAAGCAATATAACTCTGATAATCTATCTTCATTAAGATGCGTCATGTATGGTGATGCCATAAGCCTTTGCAGCTTGTCAGTGCATATCAAAGTAATTTATGAAAAGTTTTATCTTTCATCCACAATGTCCTAGCTGAATGATAATTGGTAGAAATAGAGACAGGGTATACCCTACTATTGCAGGAACATGTCGAGACTCCCACATACAAGAATACTTGGACTAAAATGCAGTTAGCGGCTGGGCCGTCAATGTCTTCCATGGTATTTAGGTCATGATGGGTGTCCCCCAGGTCAACACCAGGTACCATTTCTCAAAACATTTCAAAATTTACCTATGTATTTATTTGATACGTTTTGTCCCCTCATTTTCTAAAAGATTGAAATTATGCCTTAAAAGATAGGGCGGGGGGGTCTCCCATCTCTAGAAATTATTATTTTTCTTATTTTTGTATTGAAATTGGGAAAGGGGGGGGGGGAGGAGTTTCCCCTCCCCAGAAAATTATGTTGATATGTCCCGCTAAATTGCAACATTATAATAATATAAATGGTTGGCATATGGGTATTTTGTTTTCAACCATTAAAAAAACAGCCATTTTAGCCATTATTATTTTTCTTATTTTTGTATTGAAATTGGGAAAGGGGGGGGGGGGGGGGGAGTTTCCCCTCCCCAGAAAATTATGTTGATATGTCCCGCTAAATTGCAACATTATAATTATATAAATGGGTGGCATATGGGTATTTTGTTTTCAACCATTAAAAAAACAGCCATTTTAGCCATGCGCACATCTTTTTCCGGTGTTGATCTTGGAGTCTCAGCAAGGATGATTTTCCTTTTTATTTCTTTTGGAACATGTAAGTTGAATTTTAATAAACTGAATGGAAAATTTCATTAAAAATTATTTCATAATAACTGTATTGATCGTCAGGTTATATTTTTGATGCAAATAACGCTTGGCGAAGAACCGGAAGTTATCATTCTCATTGTTCAGGTCCATCGATTGTCCCGTCACCATGAGTCCAGTGTTGGGATTCCTCCAAGTGATGCCACTGCAGTTAGGTGAGACAACTCTTGGCAAACCCATACCGTTAACTTCAAATTTACAGAATATGTGTAAATTTGAAGGCATTCATTCATAGAAATGTGAACAAAAAGTTTTGGCCGATTTTGAATTCTTAGTATTTGCTAAATCAAAACAAACTATTTGCAATAGTTTATGCCAGGCCTGCACAACTCATAATGTAATGCAGGCCGAAATACTTCATGAAAAACTTTTTTGCCAGCCAAAAGAAAATAGTACAAGGGGGAAAACTATTAAGAAAATACTAAATGATGATAAAGAATATTTTGTTACTTCATGAGCCGCAAAGTGGGTGCTGGCGGGCCGCATGTAAGTTGCGCAGGCCTGGATTAGGCCCTCAATGTCAGAGTAAAGAGTAGGCTACACTAAGACTAAGAGTAAGAGTCAGTAGAAAAAGTATGAAAAGAGAGAGGGAGGGTAACCTTCATAGTATGATAGCCATTTAAAATCATGGGGCTTACTGATGCTAATGCCCCTTTGTATAGCAAAGTTACTTCACCCATAAGTTGTCAGAAAAACTAGTACTATAGTGAGCATACTGTACTGTAACACACCTTTTTAGTTGTGAACTGACCACCTGTGTCATGACACACTTCTTCTTCATAAGATGGTGGCAACTGGGGTCCATACGATCTGTTTGATGATATGGTTCCATCTTTTAGGTCAACATCCATCTCTTCAACGCCATCATATGAAGAGGGTGGTTCGTTTGTCAAAATGGCAACAGCATCACTTGGATCATTCTTAGCCATGCGCAGGGCTCTTCGAACCTCAGATTCAGAAGGAAACCCCATTGCAAGAATCATCTGCACATTTTCATCGCTTACAAAATTGTTATCCATGGTGAATTCAAAATATAGCAAGGTCTAAAATAAGCATTAAATAATTTAAAAACAACTAGTCATTTCTAAAAGCAATTGAAATAATGAACTTCACTAGGGTCTACATATTTCATATATCATATATTGTGGGGAAACTAGAGTTGTTCCGCCATCTTGCAAATTCAAGTCTCTGATTTTCTCGCTTGAAGAGTACATCCGGATGATTAAAAAAAAAAAAGGATTAAGAGGTGGGTGGCAAGGGGCTTACATCCCGGACATGAAATCTGGGTTACCAGAACTTGGGAAATTTCCCAAGATCTTGGGATTCTTGACGTCTTGTGGAGAGGGGGCAGGTATGAATTCACCAAACTGGGAAAATCAAGAAAAAAATCAAATGGTACAATCAAATTTTTAACTTGTTGAGACTAAAGTATCCTGAATTTTAAGGACTGACTACAGCAGGACAAAGACAATACAAATTCTAACTTTTGCAAATGCTGCAAATTTACAATGAAACATGTAAATAGGCTAAAGAAACATCAACACATGGAAAAAACATAAAAATAATTGTGAAATTGTAAATTCTCTCTTGGATTATTCACTTAGCATAAGTCAATTAATTAACACTTAAAAAAACACAAAAAATGAAAAAAATAGCAAAGAGGGAGTTGTTCATGGCTGGATATTTTTGCGCACACATTATGGGCCACCTTTCATTCACGCTCACCATTTTCTGGCCGTTTGGAAAAGGTCATGACCTGATAGTCAAATAGCTTCAAAAGTGGCAATGAAAAAAAAATTAGGCTCATGTTATTCAAGATGGGATCACATACAGATCAAATGCTGGATACAGATTTAGAAGGTGCTTGTCTGTGTGTGCTGAAGCCCGATAACCATTTTGTCTGCTTCTTTTCTTTGTATGTGTGTTCACTACGGGTATATTAGCCCATATTATATATTTTATAATTAAAACATTTATTGTGTTTTTCAATCAGATTATTTATAAAATCCATTGTAACACTGGCCTTACATTAATTGTAATGTTGTGTCATATTTCCCTTCAATTGTGCCCCTCTCATCCAATTCTAGTCATTCATACCGCTGGCTTAACATCTCCTATTACTTGTAATACTGGCGTCACATTTGTAATCCATTGTAGCACTGGCCTCACATCTCCTATCACTTGACTACTTGCCTCACATTTCCCATACGTTGTACCACTGGCCTAAAAATTCTTATCCATTGTACCACTGACCTCACATTTCTCATCCATGGTACTCCTGTCCTCACATCTTCTATCACTTGTACCACTGGCCTCACATCTCCTATAACTTGTACCACTAGCCTCACAACTCCTATCACTTGTACCACTGGCCTCACATCTCCTATCACTTGTACCATTGGCTTCACATCTCCTATCACTTGTACCACCGGCCTCACATCTCCTATCACTTGTACCACCGGCCTCACTTCTCCTATCACTTGTACCATTGGCCTCACATCTCCTATCACTTGTACCACTGGCCTCACATCTCCTATCACTTGTACCACCGGCCTCACATCTCCTATCACTTGTACCACTGGCCTCACATCTCCTATCATTTGTACCATTGGCCTCACATCTCCTATCACTTGTACCACCGGCCTCACATCTCCTATCACTTGTACCACTGGCCTCACATCTCCTATCACTTGTACCACCGGCCTCACATCTCCTATCACTTGTACCACTGGCCTCACATCTCCTATCACTTGTACCACCGGCCTCACATCTCCTATCACTTGTACCATCGGCCTCACATCTCCTATCACTTGTACCACTTGCCACACATCTCCTATCACTTGTACCACCGGCCTCACATCTCTTATCACTTGTACCACTTGCCACACATCTCCTATAACTTGTACCACTGGCCTCACATCTCCTATCACTTGTACCATTGGCCTCACATCTCCTATCACTTGTACCACCGGCCTCACATCTCCTATCACTTTTACCCTTGGCCTCACTTCTCCTATCACTTGTACCAATGGCCTCACATCTCCTATCACTTGTACCACTGTCCTCACATCTCCTATCACTTTTATCACTGGTCTTACATCTCCTATCACTTTTACCACCGGCCTCACAACTCCTATCACTTGTACCCCTGGCCTCACATCTCCTATCACTTGTACCACTGGCCTCACATCTCCTATCACTTGTACCACTGGCCTCACATCTCCTATCACTTGTACCACTGGCCTCACATCTCCTATCACTTGTACCACCGGCCTCACAACTCCTATCACTCGTACCATTGGCCTCACATCTCCTATCACTTGTACCCCTGGCCTCACATCTCCTATCACTTGTACCATTGGCCTCACATCTCCTATAACTTGTACCATTGGCCTCACATCTCCTATCACTTTTACCACTGGCCTCACAACTCCTATCACTTGTACCACTTGCCACACATCTCCTATCACTTGTACCACTGGCTTCACTTCTCCTATAACTTTTTTGGGGTCACGGGACCCTTTTCCAGGGATCGCCTAAGACCATCTGAAAACATATATCCTTACAGCTATGAAGTAGCAACGAAAATAATTGTGTGGCTGGGGGGTCGCCATGACACGAGAAACTGTATTAAAGGGTCACGGCACTAGAAAGTTTGAGAACAACTGATATAGAGCTTCATTTGTTCGACGTGGTAGGACTTGACATGACATCATATAGAGCTTCATTTGTTTGAAGTGGTAGGACTTGTCATAACATCATATAGAGCTTCATTTGTTTGACGTGGTAGGACTTGTCATGACATCATATAGAGCTTCATGTGTTTGACGTGGTAGGGCTTGTGCTGACATCATATAGAGCTTCATTTGTTTGACGTGGTAGGACTTGTCATGACATCATATAGAGCTTCATTTGTTTGACGTGCTTGGACTTGTCATGACATCATATTAAGCTTCATTTGTTTGACGTGGTAGGACTTGTCATGACATCATATAGAGCTTCATTTGTTTGACGTGGTAGGACTTGTCATAACATCATATAGAGCTTCATTTGTTTGACGTGCTTGGACTTGTCATGACATAATATTAAGCTTCATTTGTTTGAAGTGGTAGGACTTGTCATGACATCATATAGAGCTTCACTTGTACCACTGGCCTCACTTCTCCTATCACTTGTACCATTGGTCTCACATATCCGATCACTTGTACCACTGGCCTCACATCTCCTATCACTAGTACCACTGGCCTCACATCTCCTATCACTTGTACCACTGGCCTCACATCTCCTATCACTTGTACCACTGGCCTCACATCTCCTATCACTTGTACCACTGGCCTCACTTCTCCTATCACTTGTACCATTGGCCTCACATCTCATATCACTTGTACCACTGGCCTCACATCTCCTATCACTTGTACCAATGGCCTCACATCTCCTATCACTTGTACCATTGGCCTCACATCTCCTCTCAATTGTACCACCGGCCTCACATCTCCTATCACTTGTACCACTGGCCTCATATCTCCTATCACTTGTACCACTGGCCTCACTTCTCCTATCAATTTTTTGGGGTCGCGGGACCCTTTTCCAGGGGTCGCCTAAGACCATCTGAAAACATTTATCCTTACAGCTATGAAGTAGCAACGAAAATAATTGTGTGGCTGGGGGGTCGCCATGACACGAGAAACTGTAATAAAGGGTCACGGCACTAGAAAGTTTGAGAACCACTGATATAGAGCTTCATTTGTTCGACGTGGTAGGACTTGACATGACATCATATAGAGCTTCATTTGTTCGACGTGGTAGGACTTGACATGACATCATATAGAGCTTCATTTGTTCGACGTGGTAGGACTTGACATGACATCATATAGAGCTTCATTTGTTTGACGTGGTAGGGCTTGTGCTGACATCATATAGAGCTTCATTTGTTTGACGTGCTTGGACTTGTCATGACATCATATTAAGCTTCATTTGTTTGAAGTTGTAGGACTTGTCATGACATCATATAGATCTTCATTTGTTTGACGTGGTAGGACTTGTCATGACATCATATAGAGCTTCATTTGTTTGACGTGGTAGGACTTGTCATAACATCATATAGAGCTTCATTTGTTTGACGTGCTTGGACTTGTCATGACATCATATTAAGCTTCATTTGTTTGAAGTGGTAGGACTTGTCATGACATCATATAGAGCTTCATTTGTTTGACGTGGTAGGATTTGTCATGACATCATCTAGAGCTTCATTTGTTTGACATGGTAGGACTTGTCATGACATCATATAGAGCTTCATTTGTTTGACGTGGTAGGACTTGTCATGACATCATATAGAGCTTCATTTGTTTGACGTTGTAGGACTTGTCATGACATCATATATAGCTTTATTTGTTTGTGTGGTAGGACTTGTGCTGACATCATATAGAGCTTCATTTGTTTGTGTGGTAGGGCTTGTGCTGACATCATATAGAGCTTATATTTTGCACACGTCTCAGTCTCCAGTCCGTCTTAGTGAATTAAGACAGACAGACAGACAGACGGACAGACAGACAGACAGACAGACAGACGGACAAACAGAATGAATCTTAACAAACCGTAAGAAAAATCATAAGTCACTTTGCAATTCAAACATTTTACAATTTTATTATTTAAAAAAAAAAGAAAGAAAATATTTAATATTAAAAATTGTATACATTACGAGTGGTCATTATTTGAAGTAACACACGGGTTTTAGTAATAAATATAACACAGGTTTGGAAGTAGTAAACAAATGATAAACATTAGTTGCAGTTATAACATGAAAATAGTTCCGACATAAAGTAGCTAATTCTCAGGACATTCGGTCTATGCTTACGGCATAACATCTGAGTACCACCACCGTGTTATAGGGACTATTTTACGCCGTAGCCTTCTTGGACATGAGATAAAGATGAATAAGGGGAGTTGTGGCCTGGTGATAATGTAATACAGGAACATGGTGGGGGAAATGTGGCCTGGTTACATTGTAATAAAGGAAGCTGGTTTGGGGGGGGGGGACGGTGGCCTAGGGACAATGTAATAAAGGA